ATTTAAAAGTTGCTTCCAGTGCCTTCAATTCTGCCTCCTGGATGTAAAACTGGATGTAATTCGGTTACACAAAGCCTTGGGTTATTTGGGAACTGGTTCTGTTAAGTGATTTGTAAGTTGAGAAGGAACTTTTATTTTTATGGAGCTGCATCATGTCAAACTGTCTGAAGTGCTTCAAGTAATCAAACTGTCGAGTGTAGGTTTTTTTGGTAAGAAAAATTACTTAGAGCATGTCATGTTTACAGCAAAACATATTGTTATTGCTTGAAAGAAACTAATCTTTTCAATGATACTCATCTGATTTCAATGATACTCGTCTAATTCCCAATGCATGGACTGATAGTAATCATTTATTTTGTCTCTGTCTCCAATACCAGAATGTGTGTGGCAGGTAGCAAAGAAATAGATAGAAATTTTGTGAGCACTAATGTGGTGTTAAGTCTGGACCCATTGCCTCCGTAGTGAGTCTTTCCAACATGTCTTTCCAACATGTGGAGTCCTGTAGCTCAGTGGTTAGAACACTCGCTTTGCAAGCGAGAGATCTGAGTTCAATTCCAGGCAGGTCAGTGCGAAACCTTGGACAAGTTTCCTTACTCCACACAGAGCCTAATAATAATCCCTCCCAAAAAAAAAAAACAATAATAAATTGGTCATTTTCAATCTACGACTGTTTGTGGGACATTGCTGTGCGCAATTGGCTGCCGCGTTCGCCCACAAATATACAGTCAATTCACTTTACAGTGTGTTCTGTGAAGCGCTTTGGGAGGTCCTCCTGACGTGAAAAGCGCTATATCAAATGTAAGGATTATTATTATTATTATGAAGGGTGCTATACAAGTGTAAGTTGTTGTTGAATGAAACTCGTTTTTTGGCTCTGGTTTAAAATGTTGACCTCCTATTGCAGTGGCATTTTGTGTAAAATTGAGGTGGACAGTGTTCCTAAATACACTGAAAGGTTAACTATATAATGTTCAGCTGGTTAGGATGCTTAATGTTATCTCAATGTTAGTTTATATGTGCTATATGATTTGAGGACAAATAAAATTCTTCTGTGACACCCTTGGGATTAATTTGCACCACCCGCTAAGTTTAAAGCATTAAGTTAAAGTTTCCAGCATCTTGAGAGGTCCTCCAGATGTGGAATGTGCTATCTAAATGTAAATTTGTTGTAAATGTCATGTAGTCCTGTAGTGTTAGACCACTCGCCTCACAAGCAACAGAATTCGGGTTTGATTCCCGTGTGGGTGAAACCTTAGGCAAATTTCCTTACTCTACACGCACACGCCTCTGTTTGCCAGCGGTAAGTAGGAACCCAGTTGTTAGGCGATTGGCAGATTGCTTTCTGTGGGTAATAATCCCTTTAATAAAATAATAATGGTCACTCAATCATGACTGTTTGTGGGTCACTGTTGTGCGCAATTGGCTGCCAAGTTTCGCCCACAAAATACAGTCAATTCATTTTAAAGTAAATTCTGTGAAGTGCTTTGAGACGTCTCAAAGACATGATAAGGCATTATATCAAATATTATTATTATATTTTGCTACTTATTTTCTGTTTTATATTCAGGTATTTTTCCAGCATTGCCCAAATCTCAAGGAAATTTGCAGGTCTCCATCAAACGCTTGTTTGAAGCTTGGTGGGATAAGGGATTAGAAGGGAAAGAAGAGTTGGGAAAAACCGTTTTCATTATGCTTTTGGAGAATAGTTTACTGACAAAAAGCAAGGTACAGTATGACATATATTAAGTAGATTCTGATTGTTTAGAATAACATTCTGCTTGTTGTGCTCTGCTTCTTTAGGCCCAACTAGTTGGTGCTGGTATTCATATTTCGCACAAGTCCCACCCCTGGATGTTTTACCTTATTCCATATGTGATCATTTCTCCCTTGTCCACTCTTCAGACATTTCTTTCACATAATGAGAAAAGGTTAATCCTGCTTCCGCCTCTCTCCTTTGTTACATACAGGCTGTTGATGTGATTCAGCTGTGGCATTTCCATGAAGCTCTACAGAGTTTTGAGTTCAATTCTGAAGAGAGCAATCAAGTGAAAGACCTCTTGCTTCAATGTTTCATGAGTGTTAACCACATGAAAAAGGAAGAGGTAAATGGAGGAAAATATAGCATTCCTATCATATTTAGCATTATTGGACAATACAATATTAAGTTTTTTTTCATGTAATAGAATACTATTTGTTTATTTTTATTCATTCTGTGATAACCTTGTCATTGTTTTTGTAATAGCTGAAATCATCTCTTTCTGCTGATCAGCTAACTAGTATAATTACAGTGTCCAAACATGCCGAACCAATACAGAAAATTTTCCTTCCATTTTCCCTCTTCTTAAAGCGCTGACTATTGATTGGGTGTATGTCACTACGTGGTCTCCCTCCAGTACTACATGGGTGAGCTTCGAGTGTGAGTGAGCCTCGATAGTGAAAGTTGATAGTCTAATCATTTCAGGGCTTGTGCTGCCCTTTTCAGATTAAAACTCAGGCATTATTGTAAGAACATCTCTAATGGGTCTATTTGTGAGACTATAATAAGCGTTGCATTTATAGGTACACCCTGGTGCTATGTGTTGTTTTGCCCCTTAAATTAATGGGCTTTTACAGTTTTTTGTTTCTTCTACAGGGTCGGAGATTTTTAAGTTTCTTATTCAGCTGGAATGTGGAATTCATCAAAATGATCCATGGAACCATTAAGAATCAGCTGCAGTTTCTCCCAAAGTATGTAGAAATTACCTATCATAAATATACATTTTTTTTACTTGTAAACAATTGGATCTGATGGGACAAGCAAGTTACCAATTTGCTGACATTTTATTTAGATTGGATGTAACATTTTTGAACTAGAAATTCATTTGATTTATTTTTTTCAAAAAATGACATGCCATCTTATTGTATGTTTTTCTTTCATCTTCTGAAGGCATTTGCTCCTTTATCCTTTTACTATATGTTGTTTTTTATCTCCCTAACTCTTGTTCTGGATGAGATCCGCTAACTCAGCATTATACCTCGGTCCATATAGCTTAATTCTACATTGACAGTGACTTTTACCCGTTGGGCCATCTCCCATCCTCCTGAAGTTCTGCGCTTTTTTATGGGTAATGCATGAGCATTGACAAGAAAAGATATAATATTGTGATGAACAAGTGCCGACAAGTTTTTTGACTGGTTTCTTCATCACATTGTGGTCTGATCTGTGTGTGTTGAACATGTTCCTCCACATTACCATCATTCTGTAGATATGGAGGTTCTATTTTACCCTGCCTCCATAGCCCAGAAATTCTGAGATGGTTTTCTGTGCTGCAATCCAGTTGTTGCCATTAGATGTACCACGGTGACATTCTCCCAAACCATTGACATTACACTCTTAATTGTGAAGTGCCCAAGTGGTTGCATTTCTTGCAGGTAAAGTGTCATTCTGCAGTTGCTCGTCATGACGATTCATAAGGAATTAAGAGAATTAATCCATTTCACACTATTCCATAATGCTGTGTTCAGTTTCACTATCCATCTGTAACTGGTCTTAAAACCTTCTTGAGAAAACTTATTTTACTATACTCCCAGTCCCCATTGACTTTTGAGTGGAATAGTTACTGAGCTATTTTTGCCTGCAGGTCAATGATTGTCCATGTCGCTGAAATATATTTCAGAGCTTGGAAGAAGGCATCTGGAGTGTGTTTAGAGGTGAGTGCTGATGATCTTAAAATTTCAACTTCGAGGTCAACTCCTGTCAAGTAATAATCTTACAGATAATTTGTTGTGGCTGCTGGAGAAGAGTTTTCTATTGCTTGGCTTTTCTTACCCCTGCACAAATAGCAGCAACACCTCACTCACCTGAGCAGTGTCAGGAGGTTGTTTGTTTGATGGTGAGCCCATTAGAGCTGGTCATTGTTCTGTACTAACCAGATGAGTGAACATTGTCGCAATGGTTGACTTTTAGTTGATTAATTGCTATAGAAGCTCCTTGCTTTTCACATTATTCCTTTACCTAGATTAACGACTCAAACTGATCACCATGTTAGATGGTTGAGGACATTTAAAAATCTATGTAATGTTTTGATGAGAATACTTTAGGGTGGGTTTTCTGGAAGGTTGAAAATAAATAATAATAATCCTTGCATTTGATATCGTACTTTTCACGTCTTCGAGATGTCTCAAAGCGCTTCTCATAATTTACTGTAAAGTGAATTGACTGTATATTTTGTGGTGAAACGCAGTAGCCAATTGCGCACAGCAGCGTCCCACAAACAGGATTGAAGATTGATGTGGATTGAAGTGACCAATTTATTATTGTTTTGATGAGATCCAATGGCCTGAAGGAGCTCTGGAAGTAATATGCACCATCTGCTGGCAGGAAATCAATACTGCAAGAAGCTGCAAAATGTTTCAATATCTTTGTGAGCAAATTGGTTGATTCATACCCACATTTATATCATTACCTGTTACTATTAGACAGCTTGTTTACAGTTAGTCCCATATGCCACAAACTAACCCTAGTCTCTAGGTTTTTCAATTTGAGGTGTGGTTATTTAAAAAAAATTGGTTTCTAGTTTGCATGAATATAACAATAACAACAATAATCAAAAACAGAAGTTGCTGGGAACTCTCAGCAGGTCAGGCAGCATCTATGGAGAAAGGAAAGTGAGTCAACGTTTCGGGTTCACAACCCTTCGTCAGAAATGACATAATAGTAATAAAAATCCTTGCATTTGCAATAGCACCTTATCACGTTTTTGAGGTTTCTCAAAGTACTTCAAAGAAGCAATTGAATAATAAATAAATTGAAGTGACCAATTTATTATTTTTTTGAAGGAATTATTACCCCCGGGAAAGCGATCCGCCAATCAACTAAAAACATGTTCCTACTTACTGCTAGGTAAACACAGACATATGGAGCAAGCAAACTTGCCCAACATTTCTCCCTGCCGTGAATTGAACCCAGATCTCTTGCTTGCGAGGCGAGGGCTCTAACCACTGAGCTACAGGACTTCACAGGAATATTCCAAGAATACAGGAATAGTCTTGGAAGTTAGAAGTTAGGGTTAGGGTCAGGCTGCTGAAACCCTCACCCATGCATTCGTCACCTCAAGGCTTGATTACGGGAACTCCCTCCTCATCGGCCTTCCCAATTCTTCCCTTCACAAGCTGCAGATCATCCAAAAACTCTGCAGCTCGTGTAGTCTCACGGACCAGGCTCTGTGACCCCATCACTCCCACCCTCGCCCGGCTCCACTGGCTCCCCATCCCCCAGAGGATCGAGTTCAAGATCCTCGTCCTCACCTTTAAGGCCATCCATGGCCTTGCCCTCTCCTTCCTCTCTGACCTGCTGACTCTCCGAACCTGCCCACTCCTTCCGTTCAGTGGGCTCCGGCCTGCTTCATGTCTCCCGCCCGACCCACCCTACCATCGGGGCCGGGTTTTTAGCCTCTTTGTCCCCACACTCTGGAACTCCATCCCACGGTCCCTTCGCATCGCTTCCTCCTTTGCCTCCTTCAAGGCCGGTCTCAAGACCTTTTTCTTCCACCGTGCCTTTGGTCTCCCTCTCACCTCTTGCCTTCCCTCACCCCTACACCACCCCCCCTCCCCCATGCTCGAGCCCCGACACCTGACTTTCAGCGCTTTGGGACGTCCTCCCGACGTGAAAGGTGCTCTATAGATGTAATTTTGTTGTTTTTGCTTTGGCATTGGAATGTTGTAATTGAGTTGACTGGAATAATTTCTGTGGAATATTCTCTGTTTGGAATGATCCTCTGATGACAGCCCATCAAGCCTGGCTTGTTTTTAGCTGGTTATAATCCAGCAATAGCTCAACATGCTAACCTTGGCCCTGGTCACCCTGTACCTGTTACTTTGTAGAATTGAGTAGAAAGGGTGATTTTCTCTGGGAGACAGTTCCATTCCAGAGAAAGGGAAAATTTGCACGCATGGTTAGCTTGAATATGTGGAACTCAGTCCAGTTTGAATATTCTTAAGCATGGTGATAGGTTTCTGCAGGTATCAGGCTGACCAAAAATGTTTTTCATATTTTATATTTAATCAAATACATTTTTTTTGATAGGCTTTACTTTCTGAACCACCTGGGTCTCACCAACAATTTTGAAATTGGGAACAATATTAGTGGGGGAAAATATCCCTGGTTTTAGAAAAAAACTGAATGTATTTTTCAGCTATTGTGGTATTTGATACTTGTGTATCATGGATACAACTAGTTCAAGTATTGCATCAAATAGCAATAATCTGATACATTAACTGAAATGAAAAATGCTGATTGCTTCAAAAGCACACAAGGAAAAATGGGATGAGTTTTCTGAAAAAAACTATAAATTGACAAGAATTGACTACTCTGGTTTCTGCCCATCTAGAGCAGGTATAAAAGATATTCACAAACGATCAAAGAAGTATTGATGGAGTTGATTATAGATGAATCGTGGGAGGGGGAGGGTGGGTATCACGCAGTTTTTACAGATTAAAGAGACTATTTCTACTTCAGATTTCAATATCCTGGAATGTATTTTGGAATGAAGCTCTTTGTGTGGGAGTGTGACATGCTAGGGTGAATGATTTAATCTATTTGACCTACATATAGCCATTCAGCTTTTAAGTTTTTGTATTTGATGTTCGATTATAAGGATAGAGAGGTTTTTTTTCTCCTAATTGTCTCCTGCTTAGATTTGCAGCTCCCTGGCCTGACTGACTGGATGGTTAATGTTGGTACAGAGAGTCCATGATCTGTTATTCTTTTGGGGGTTATATTCATGTTGCAATTATTCTGGGCTTCTTAATGGGAGAATTGAAGATTTGAGAGATGGTTAGCCACAACATGGAGGAAAGCTATCTCTTACCCTTGTGTTACCAATCTGACAGAAATTTGTTTTTCATACTCGATGGGCCAAATGCCATCCTTCTGCACCGTAGATTTCTATGTTTCTGATACAGAGCTTTTTAACCGTACAATCAGTGAGTTATATTTTGCATGTTTCTTTATTTTACTGGGCACGGTTACACATAAGGTCACCTTTTTAAAACTAAAATTATGCAAATCAGCAAAAGATGTTTGGAATTTCCTAAAATGCATTTCTATTTCAGACAATTGAACACGGCTGCATTCAAGATTTCATGCATCATGGAATTCATCTTCCCTGGAAATCGCCAGTTCACTCCAAAGTGCGAGAAGTATGTGGATGGTTTTAATGTGTTCCCAGTAAACAAACTTTACTAGATATTCAACATTTGGTAACAAATGGATTGTTATACAGAAAACTGAATAGCTATAAACAAGATTCAATCGAATATATTTCTAATTCCTAAAGCCCTTCAGTAACCTTTTAATTTTCCTCTCTCCATTTATGTTGCCTTCCATTTATTTTTATGGGATTGACAAGGGACCTGTTGAGAATACTGCTCTGTAAATGCCAGCAAAGTGTGCATCCTGCATGCAAATGTGATGACTTGATGGGATTTTTTGAGGGACATGCACTTTATGTCTCAAGGCACAATTGCATTTGAATTATTGAGTGGTGAACAACTTAAACACATAAGCTTGATGCTTCTTAGAATACAATGTGTGTGGATCTGATTTATTGCCCACAAAATATACAGTCAATTCACTTTACAGTATATCCTATCAAGCACTTTGAGACACTCGAAGCTGTGATAGGAGTTATATCAAATGCAATAGTTATTATTATATTCTGGGAGGATGGAGCTATATCTCTGATATAGTGAGGAGGAATGATGCACAGTTATGAAGTATGACATTTCTGCTTTTTTGAGTTCATAGTTGTTTACTTTGAGTCTCTCACTTGGCTCACTGAAGATTGGGGTGGGTGGGGTATGGTAGGTAAGTGGGGTCTCCCTGGAGCTGAATTGGTTCCAAGGTAACATGCCTGGTAATGGAATGTTGGAATCGAGCCCCCCTCTGTGACGGTCTCTAGTCCGGTTCTTGAGTTAGGCGGGTCCGCGCTATTCCAGGGCCTCTGCTGATGGCAGTCCAGCCTAGCTCATCGGCAGGATCTGGAAGGGCAGACCAGTCACTGGGGGCAGCAAGTCATCCCACTCAGCTCCTATTAATCTTGCAAGCCAAAGCCTTAACGGGTAGGTTGGGCCTAGCTGGACAACAATAACAGCAAATTATATTTGTATAGCGCCTTTCACGTCAGGAGGGCATTCCAAGGCACTGGACAAGCAACGGGAAAGCTTGACAGACAGCAATATCAATGCCAACCTTCGTGGTTTCAGCTGGTTAGACTCCAGCAGTTACCCCAGCACATTCTCTGGGGTCCCCCCCAAGCCTTGGCTCTTGCCAACCTGTGCCTAATATTTTCCGGAATTGGGTGAGCAGGATGCATCCCTCCAGAGAGAATGCGTTCATTCCATTCTAACAATCTATCTCTGGGATTTCGAAATATGTGGGATGCCTGGAATTCTCAGCTTGGTTTGGATAATCTTCAGGCCGATGATGGGCCGATGATGGGTTTCAGACAGCCGGCTTTGATTGGAAAATATTGTACTATGAAAGAGGTATTAATTCCTTGATGATAAATTATTGCAACGAGCTGGGTTTGATGACTATGACCTGAGTTATTGGTTCTGGATGGTGCTTGACTTCCTGGACATTTCATACGTATTGGTACAAAATCTGCTGTTGGTACTCAAATGACTGCAAGTGTCAGGTGAGATAGGTTAGATATTAAAAGTGGAATGGGTGTGTTCCACTGAAAACTGAAACAACAATTTCCCAATTGCTGTGTTATTGTGGAGTCCTGTAGCTCAGTGGTTAAAGTGTCCCAAGCGAGAGGATCTGAGTTTGATTCCTGGCAGGGCGAAACATTGGGCATGTTTCCTTACTCCACATGCCTCTGTTTACCTAGCATTAAGTAGGAACCTGGTTGTTCGTCGATTGGTGGATCGCTTTCTGGGGGTAATAATCCCTTCAAAACAAAAATAATTTTGAAAAAAAATAATAATTTGGTTACTCAATCCACGACTGTTTGTGGGACACTGCTGTGCTCAATTGGCTCTTGTTTTGCCCACAAAATATATAGAAAATTCACTTTACAGTATATTCTGTGAAGCACTTTGAGATGTTTCAAGGACGTGATAAGGCACTATATCAAATGCAAGCATTATTATTATCCTTATCCCCCCAACTGAGCAGGCAGATGCGTCCTTATCCGAACGACAGGAAAAAAAGGTTGTTTTACATAAAGGATGGTTCAAATGGAGAATTCTTTTGTCACAAATCACAACTGAAGCAGAGTTCATAGATTCTTTTCCTGATAAATTCTTAGATACTTGAAGAAAAGGAGGGAGTATTGGGGGCCTATTAAAGATGGGGACAGAGATGGCCGGTTTCTGTGCTGTAACATTCTGTGTTTCAGAGAAATGGATCAGAATGATGTGACCAATACCCCAGTTTTACATTGGGAATATTTTTTATATTTTTCCTACAGCTCATGAAAATCACTTGCATGATTTATTATTTTTTCTCCGGTGACTCAAGCGCTTCCTGACCGCAGTGCCAGGCCATCAGTTGGACTGCATGTTGTATGTTAAAGGGTAAAAGATTAAGTGTATGATCTGCAGTATACCTGGGCATTCAACGATATCTTATGCTTGGTCAAAAATGGTTTCCTTTCTGAGTTTTAATTTCTCTTACTTGTATTTGATTCGTTAGCTCACTGTTGATTAAAAACGTATTTTGTTTTGCTGTTAATAAAAGTTTATATATTTCTGTTTGTTTTTACAGTTATTAAGCTACCTCCATCAACAGAAGCTGCGTCAGGGTGTGGATGAAATGTTATACCACTTATACCAACCTATTCTATGGCGAGGATTAAAGGTACCAAAGTAATCAGAAAACAAAAGGGAGTTTTTCCTTGTTCCAACAATTCCCCAGATAAAAAATAGTCATTCAATTAACGGATGTTTGTGGGGATTGCTGTGTGCAAATTGTTTGCTTTGTTCATCCATAAATACAGTCACTGCACTTTACAGTAAAAATTCTGTGAAGCGGATTGAGATAGTTTGACAATGCGATAAGGCTCTATATGAAATGCAAGTATTAATAATCAAATAAATATTCAGATCGACTTTATATGGAAGGATTTTTCTTAACCTTTGTTATAGGTAGTTGTGCAGTAAAAAATTTTAATGGAAAGGCCAAACAGATCACAATAGTCCTAGGTTGGGGATGGAAAATCAGCAAGGGTTTCTGCTCCAGAAGTTGAAAATTTCTCTTGGTCTTTGGGTTGATGAGGAATTTTGAACGTCTGATATAAATCCATGGAAGGTGGTCATGTGTGGATGTTTGAGCACAGGTAATCAGCGCCTCCACAGTTGATAGATTGTCAAACCCCTTTATGAAAACTTTCACATGATAATGGCCATTTAGTCAAGGTATTGGTAGTAAATATAGTATCAACAGAACAGTATTTCAGTGAACAGGGACTTGGTTGTTTTCAGGATGGGAGAGATAAAAATTAGAGGGAAAAAACAACTTAACAAACAAGATTTTTATAAACCAGCATTGTTTCTATTTTGAAAATTGTACATTATGAAGAAAACAAAACTGCAATCCAAGCCAGTAAAAAGAATAATAATCCTTTCATTTGATATAGCGCCTTATCCACAGTTCATAGGGGCTCTGGCCTGCTCCACATCCCCCTCCACACCATTGGCGGGAGAGCCTTCAGCCACTCTGCCCCCAACCTCTGGAATTCCATCCCCCAATCACTCCGCCTCGCCCCCTCCTTAGTCTCCTTCAAGTCCCGCCTCAAAACCCTCCTCATCGGCCATCCCCTTCCCTCCCATCTCTCCCCCTCCCCCCCCGCCGACCTCAACTCGGGTCTGAAATGCTGTCACTGTCCAGCACCTTGGGACGTCCTCCCGCTATACAAATGTAATCTTCTTGTTATCACGTTGTTGAGATGTCTCAAAACGCTTCACAGAATATGCTGTCAAGTGAATTGACGTCTATATTTTGTGGGCGAAACATATTAGTTGTAGTGGACAATTATTGGAACAGACACATCGTGGGTAGCCCACATCTAGTTTGTTCCCAGAAATGGGGCAGGAATGAATACTCTGGGCAACTCTGGGTGATGCAACAACAGTATCTTCCAACCATCAAACATTCCAACCTATTCAGTGATTCGTTAACAAACACCAGACTTGCAGTTCTTTAGTGATCACCTCTGTCGGATCCACTTAAGTCTGTGTTTTTAATCTCTTGAAGGCCACAAATTCTGAGGTACGGGCAAATGCTGCGATTCTCTTTGTTGAATCTTTTCCACTTCGAGATCCTGGACTATACAACGAGGAAACAGACATTGACATCCAAAGGCAGTTTGAGGAGCTTTTTGTAAGTGTTCAAGTAGATTTTAATCTTGTTAAATTGTGGCAAAATATCCAATAGCTTTTATTTGTGGGAGTGTAATAGCAACATCTGTGAATTGTTGCTCCCATTCATTGCCACTGCAAGCAAGTTCTTTATCAATGATCAAACTGACTCAATGTACAGCATTTAAAAAATATGCGAGATCATAACTATTGTAGCGTGTGGAGGCCACTTTGAGTTCTGATTCTGTACCCCATGTAATTTGATTTCCCAGAAGCTTTGTACCGTAGCTAAATCTTCCACCCCATGAGGACACAGCTGTTGTGTCTATAGCATGGTCGTAAAACTGCAACACATGAATTGAAGCATATTATTTATAACCCTTGTCAGAAATAAAAGTTCTCCAACCGATTTTAAAAAAATCTAATAAAGTCAAGCAGAAATTGGTTTTAAATCAGTGACAAAAATAAAGACTAAAGGTATGAGCATATATGCCACTGTTATCTGTCTGAGAAAGTATTCTAATTCCTGTGGACTTATATTTATGTAATTGTGTACCTCATATTACATCTGTGCATTTTGTTACAAAACCAACTTCACAAAATCTGTAGTGAAAAGTAGTTGATGTAAAGAGCTGCCAAACAGGTAGTACATCCAGTGCACTATATTATGTTCCACTAAACTGCAGTCTTTCCATTGGGTCAAAATGGTTCTCGGTAGCCTCATTTCAAAGCTGTATCTAAATATTGAAATGTTAAACAAAATATTTTGCTTTGTTTCGTGTCGCTTTTGAACAGCTAATGCTGTTAATAATTATGGTTCAATTATTTTCCTTCTACAGAACCTTTTGGACGATCCCCACCCTCTGGTGCGTTCCACTGGTGTCCTTGGTGTATGTAGAATCGCTGGAAAGTATTGGGAGATGATTCCTCCTTCGATCCTCACTAATCTTCTAACCAAAGTTCTCTGTGATCTCTCTGCTGACACAAGTTCTGCTGATGTCCGTTGTTCTGTCTTTAAGGTACAATGGATGTTTCTTCCCATCTCCAGTTGTTTGTCTGACTGGCTTGTTGCTTGTGCTTTGTGCTGTTTGCATCCCAACTGGTATCTTCAACCATTGCACTCTTGTCTTGAACTGTCTTCCAAAATCACTATGTCCTGCTATGGTGGAACTTTCCATGTGTGGGTGGGATGCATTGAATTCTTAGTTTGGGTACTCTTTAAACATGATGATGGAATTCTGCATGTGACAGACACCTGGCTGCAAAAAAAAACTGTATCCTGCTGCCTCTTTCATGCTTTAAAAGTCTCACAATTTCTTTGTGTGTTTTCAGATGTCTAGCCTACTTCTTGATATGCGTCATTGATTTAAATGCTTTGAATCTTTATTTACCTAAATGGTGCTATATAATGTGATCCTCTGTTGGGGGACGGAAGGTAAATGAGGTTTCTTTGGAGATGAGCTGACTCCAAGGTGATGTGCTTGGCAACAGAAGGTTGAAATCAAGTCAACCCTCTGTGGCCCCAGGGCACTGCTATCGACAGCACAGCCAGCCTGGCTCAACAGCAAGACTTGGGCAGACTGGTCACTGGGGGCAGGGATTCTTCCCTTTCATCAGTTCTTGTTAATCCTCTAAATCAAGGCCTTAACCAGTAGCCTTGTCCTAGCTGGACAAACAGCAGGAAGCTTGCCAGACAGTGCTTTCAACAACAACAAATTACATTTGTATAGGGCCTCTCACGTCAGGAGGACATCCCATGGTGCTGGCTTTCAATGGCAAGCTATGTGGTTTTAGCCGATTTAACTGGCCCAATACCGCAATGCACACTCTTGGGTCCCCAAGCATTGGCTCTTGTCAGATTGGCCTAATACTCTCTGGGATTAGGTAAACTGGATGCTTCCCTCCAGGGAGAGGGTGTGGGTTCTATTTCAATACACAGAACTTTCCATGTGTAGGGTGCGGGTGGTTGCACGGAATTCTGTTTGGTTTGGCTACTCAAGTACGATGATGGGTTTCTGCATGTGTCAGGCACCAGGTGAGCAAAATAATTACATTTCTGTAGTGGCTTTCATGTTATGAAGATGTCCCATAGCGCTTACTTTCTAATTTGGATGGCCTGGATGAATTGTATTTTGGAATGGAATTTGTAAAGACTTAGAAAAGTGGGAATTGATGTGAGAGAGTCGGCATGGATCAGCTACAGAGCAGACGTAATCTGAATCAGACTTTTTTGGATATTTGAAGCAATGGGATGTATTTTGGCCTGTGACAGATGCCGGCTGACCAAACGTTGTTTGTATTTTCGTTCTGAAAGACATCAGTGCCCCTGTGATGCCTCACTGAAGCAGTAATTCTTCATGCATGAATAAGCCTTGATATTTATTTGTTAGCAGATGAATTGACCAATGGCATCTTGAGATCTTACATTGTGGTTTTCCGATAATAAGAATTCATAGCTGTCAAACTCCGTACAACCAGCCGGTCCACGCGCCCCCCACCCCCGCTATTACAGTGAGAGATGCACCCGTTTTTATTTTGCAGTGTTTGTCAGTCACCTTGGACAATAAAATGAGCCACCCTTTGTTGGAGCAGCTTCTGCCAAGAGTGAAGAACAGTCTCCATGACAACTCAGAAAAAGTCCGAGTAGCCTTTGTTGATTTGTTGCTGAAAATTAAAGCGGTCAAAGCTGCAAAGGTAAGATGTATGCCATGCATGGTTCAAATGTAAGACTGCAGCAGCTTTATCTCTTCAGGCTTGCATGATATTTTCCCATTGCATAGGTAAACCAGTGAAGAATATTCAAACTTATTGTAGACAATGCCTTACAGTAAATGAAATGACCAGGTTAAGTCTTTAGATATTCTAGAGTAATAACAGTTCCAATAAAAGGGAGACAAGATGAAATTCATTTGTAGTTTACCAATACAAACCATCTGGGTCATAGCCCTTGCATTTCAGGTTTTTTAAAAAAATATATTCAGACAAGGTCCATTTAACTCATTCATCAATCTTCCTGGGCTTTTTTTTATGTGGTCAGTTGATGTCAAGGTACAGATTCAACTGATACTTTTTTCCAGCTAAAATAATAATAATAATCCTTGCATTTGATACAGCGCTTTTCACGTCGGGAGGACGTCCCAAAGCGCTTCACAGAACACACTGTAAAGTGAATTGACTGTATTTTTGTATATTTTATATATTGTATTCTGTATATTTGTGGGCGAACGCGGCAGCCAATTGCGCACAGCAATGTCCCACAAACAGTCGTAGATTGAAAATGACCAATTTATTATTGTTTTTGGTTTTGGAGGGATTATTATTAGGCTCTGTGTGGAGTAAGGAAACTTGCCCAAGGTTTCGCCCTCTGCCTGGAATTGAACTCGGGTCTCTCAGTTGCAAAGCGAATGCTCTAACCACTGAGCTACAGGACTCCACATGTCTTCGTAAATATTTTTTAAAAAATATTAAAACAATATATAAAATAATAATTTGGTCATTCAATCCACAACTGTTTGTGGGACACTGCTGCTGTGTTTTCCCCACAAAATATAAAGTCACTACATTTTTATATTATACTCATCTCAATGTCTTTGAGATGGCTCAATGACTTGATAAGGCGCTGTATAAAATGCCAGGATTAATAATATTTATAGTCTCCTAATTGAGAACCCTGGATATAGATTTCCCACAGAAAATGATTCCAGTAAACGCACAGTATTTGTATTTTAGCCTCATTAGAAATTGCTTTTATTTTGAAGATTAAATGACTTCATATGAACAAAGCACCTTTGTATTTTGTTAAAAAGCATTTACTCTTTGAAGTCAAAATATGGTACACCATTTGAATAATATCTATTCTTTCTCATAAAAATTAACTTTTGCAGTTAAAATGCATGCAGAGAGGAAAGTGATAGTCAATAGTTCTGATTAAAAGGCACCAGAATGAAACTTACTGACAACCTAGGATTTTGTACGCTGACACCCGAGGGATGTTACTTATGTCAAACAAGACAGGTGGCTGATGCAGTGATTGGTGGATAGTAGGGTGGTTGTTCTAGAGGGAGGAGATCAGATGGGCTGAAGAGCCTTCTTCATCCAGATCAGATGTGATCTTGTGAATGTTTGGAACTCTACCCCAGCAAGAGTCAACGTCTTCAAGAGAATGAAAGGAATTTACGCCTGAAAACATAGATTATGATATTTCTTTCAATTGCCCTCAAGTTGCATACATGATGCTAAACCTGCAAGGGAAACCAGATCTATCAATGTATTATCTCACCAGTTACTGATTTATTGACAGCACTTACACTATTCCACTTTTATTTCTAACAGTTTTGGAAGATCTGCCCTATGGAGCATCTTCTCGCCAGGCTGGAGCTCGATGCACGTCCTGCTGCAAGACGGATTGTTAACCTATTATTTAACTCCTTCTTTCCTGTGACTCAAACTGAAGAGGTCTGGTGTGAGCGCTGTGTCACCTTAATACAAATGAATCCCATGGCAGCAAGGAAGTTCTATCAGTATGCACACGAGCACACTGCACCAACTAATATTGGTATGTTTCTGCTTTGATAATTGATTTTTTTAAATTTAAAATTAATTATACACTTTGAAATGTCAGAGCTTCAAAAGAATGACCTTTGATTGAGATCTGAGCAGGGCAGTACACGTTTTTTTTCAAACTAAAATAGGGCTAGGGATATTGAGTGGACCAAGTTAGAAATAGTTGTTCGAGGAAAGAAATGATTGATGAAGTATGCCAGATTAAAGATATTGGATTTGTTACATTTTATTGAGCTATTTTTCCCTGTTGCCTATGAAACTACCAAAACTGAAGAAAGGATGCTAAACCTTACTTCTTGGTGTATAGCAATCTGTTCTTAAAGAGATTGCTAATAGCAAGGCTCTCACTTTGGGATTATGTGAATGTATTCTGATTAACTTCTTGAAAGTCTGACCACTGAGCATATTCAGTGATTGTGCTACTTAACAGTGTAACTCAAGTGATTCAGAGCTCAGACATGCAGAGAGCTCTTCATGCATTTGAAGAATAGAAACACTCAGTAACATGATGATAATACGTGGAATGATGAATTGAAATGAAATTGGAAGATTACAATCTAATGAGAGAGCTCCAATGATAATCACAGTGGAACACAAGTGATTTATAAATTTCTGGCCCCTGAATTTTTCAAAAACTTAAGTCTTTAATGTTGCTTCTGTGTTTAAAATCCTCCCTTTATTTCTCTAGGGTACTATTTTTAGTCAGTCTGCAGTTGTGAGATAAGGTAGCCTCTCAATGCAATACACTGTGATGTTCAGAGTGATTTTAAACTGGCATTTGTAACTCTAGACATATCAAGCATTTTGCAGTTGGTTACAGGAAATTCGATCTTCGATTTCTGTTAAAAGATACATGACAGCACGAGCTCCTTCCTTGTTGTGGTTTAATTTGATATGATTCTAAAGCAACATAAATAGGTTGTAATTGGAATTTCAAATTCAATATTATGCTACTATTTTACACTAAAATGTAGGAAACAAAAGTTCAATATTTCTTCGTACCAGCTGGCATCAAGGAATTCACAACCGTTGAGGTTGAGAAGAAGCTGCACAGTCTTTAACATCCTGCGGCCCTGCGAGTGAATACTCGAAGGGCCACAGGAGGGAGTGCTGCGGGGGAGGCTGGACTGCTATATGCTGCTTTAGGAAGATCCGTTAGGAAAAAAATGATAACTTGGACACTCAATCCATGACTGTTTGTGGAACGCTGCCATCAGCAATCGGCTGCCGCGTTTTGCCCACAAAATATAGTCAATTCACTTCTTTGAAGCGCTTTGAGATGAGATAAGGCGCTAGATCAAATGCAAGAATTGTTATAGCGCCCATCACGTGGGTAGACTCTTGGAATGCTTACAGTATAGTGCAATATAATATACAGGACAATATAATATATAGTATATTCATTGAGACATCTCAAAGCTCTTCACAGAATAATAATCCCTCCAAAAACAATAATAAATTGGTCATTTTCAATCTACGACTGTTTGTGGGACATTGCTGTGCGCAATTGGCTGCTGCGTTCGCCCACAAATATACAGTCAATTCACTTTACAGTGTGTTCTGTGAAGCACTTTGGGACGTCCTCCTGACGTGAAAAGCGCTATATCAAAATGCAAGGATTATTATTATAGAATATACTGTAAAGTGAATTAACTATTTTGTGGCAAAGCACAGAGAGTTTCACTGTGAGCAAAGCTGTTTTTTAATTTAAGCTTTTTGTTTGATTCTATATGCTGTAGTTAAAATAAATTGCAATATGGGGATAGATTTGTATTTGCTACATTAATTTGCATTCATTACCATTAATAGCTAAGTTGATGCTTGCGATTCGCCGCTGCCTGACTGCTTGCATCCAGAGGGCAACTTGTAATGAAGACAGTGATGATGAGCAATCAAAGGAAAATATCAGTGTAAGTGAAACGCATTGTGTCAATCTGTAAAGCTGTGTGCAATTTTAAGGCTCAAATAACTTTTTTTGCAGTCAATGTTATAACTACTTTGAATCAAATTATGGTGAATTGGTTTCATATTCGATACATTTTTGTTTGGACTATTGAGAAAAATTGATGTTGAAGTTACCCCATACTTATTGCTTTTCAGTGGATACCAAATGTCAAAAAAAGAACTTCCATATTTATATCACCTTGATTTCTTGAAATGTTGGTTTACAAGATATAACCATTCTTGCAGGCAAATGCAGCAGTTATTTTTTTTCAGCAAAAAAAAGTCCCACACAACAAAATTGGAAATGGAGAACTGGGTGAGTAGGGGAAAGAAGATTTCAATCAACTTATAACCAAAAGGTAAACGTCACTTGTTGTTTCCTGCAGGTGCTGGATACTGTGCTGTCTGTGGCCGATAGCTCCACAATGGCCAGTTTAATAGAAATTATTGTCATTTTATGGCGGAGCATCAACAAAGCACTAAATGAAAATAAAGAAGCCAAAACCTACACTATTAGGAAGTTTGCAGCTGTACTACCTGAATATCTCAAGAATTTCACGGTAATGTTCTCGTTTCAATTCACTTTTTTAAAACACGGAGATTATGTTTTGGGCTTTTAAAATAACATTGTGCTTCTTATTTCTCCAGGATGACAGTTGTACTGTTCCCTTAGTGACTCTGGCTTCCTTTATGCCGGCATCAGCGGTTCCCACTTTCAGGTACAATGGACTTGTGCCAAAGTTCAGCATTCACTTAAAATTGTTTATTTTCGTAGCCACCTCCAAGAACAATCCAGGAAATTGCTTCTAGACATTGTAAAGTCATAACAATATCATGATATTGGGATACATAGTTGGGCTATTTAGCATATCAAATTAAAATCTAGTGCAAAAGTGCTCCCACTAAAAATAGAGGAAAATTGGGCAAAACTTTCCCTATAGCAAAATATTCTCACTTTATCCTTGTATCTGGAACTCGCCTGCTCCAGGTCGAGGCCACTCTTTAACATGTTGCGAGAGGGATTTCTCAAATTAGTTCATTTGGCACGGTTTGGGGGCCTGTGACTATGAGAATGTGTATCACTTGGTATTGTATACTCACTAGCACTAAACATTCCAATTCAGTCCAAAACTTCTATGTTATTAAACCTGCTTAGATCAAAAATCTGGCCCCATATAATAATGATTGTTACATTTAGTATAGGCTGTCTGGAGAATGTCCCAAAGCGCTGCATAGTATATGCTGTAAACTGTAGTGGCTGTGTGTTTTGTTGCAAGCACAACAGCAGTTTTGTGCACAAAAAAAACTTCCCAGAAAATTCCCTTCTCTTTTCAAATAATTCCACGGGATCTTTAATTACCCACCTGAACAGCGAGAAGGGGCCTCAGTTTAACATCTTACCCAAAGACCGGCACGACAACTTGCCTTGATATAGCAAATTTTATAGCACCCCCCACTCCCCGCCTTGCAGGGTAGTGTCCCAGAGTGCTTAAGCATATATTACATGCCAACAGCCGGCACTTAATACAATCTACAATCTTTCTTCTTGTTTCTTTTATGAAATTTATATAATTGGTACATATCTCTCAATTTAACTATCTGTCTATTGTTTTATATCTCAGAAGAGTGTTTTATGAGTAATTGCTTTCACGGTGCATTTGGAATTATTCTATGATTAAACTTCAGCTATTCTATGCTGAAAATGTTTCTTATGCAACTTGTTTATGTAGCCTTTATTGGTGCACTATAGCTTATATTAAAATGCTTATCGTATATAGTTGGAAGATCATTCTGATTTTGTCATGTTTGCTTGTTTGACTTTTTTTCTGGTAAAACTTGAATGTTACTATTGTATTGATATCTTTTATAATCATCTGCTCTTACCAGTTGTGGAGTCCTTTCAAAGCTGAGAAATTTGGATAAAGGTGCTGAAGAGAAGAAGTATTCTTCACTGATAGACTGCCTGTGTCAGTGGGGGAAGGTTGGACACGTGCTTGAGCTGATCACTGACTGGGTGTCTGAGGGACTTCCCCAGAAGGTTAGGGAGAATTTTTTCTTCTTTAACATGACACGCGAGTGCGCCTGCAGTCACCTTTCACCTCTTCCTGGCTCGGGGTGGAGCTCAGTCACTGTTAAATGCTCCAAGGCGCTTCCCTGAATGAAGGGTGCTATATATATATATATATATAATTATGCAAATTATTGCTGTTCATTGCAGTGTAAGTCAGTAAGTGAGGTAGATGGGGTTAGACTAGGTCGGTCGGTTATCTGGAGAAAAATGCCAGCACAGAATTCATGGCCCCATATAATAACTTCCCATATAATAATAATTGTTACAGAATTCATGGCATGCTAAATCTCAAAAGATTTAGTTCGATTGCAAATACCGATTCATCTGTTCTACATTCCCAGCATCTTTTCTTTATAAGCGTGGAGTCCTGTAACTCAGTGGTTAGAGCACTCGCCTTGCAAGCGAGACACCTGGGTTCAATTCCAGGCAGGGCAAAACCTTGGGCAAGTTTCCTTGCTACACACGCCTAATAAAAAACCCTCAAAAAAAAAATTGGTTATTTTCAATCCACAACTGTTAGTGGGACACTGCTGTGCACAATTGGCTGTCACATTTTGCCCACAAATATACAGTCAATTCACTTTGCAGTATATTCTGTGAAGCGCTTTGAGACGTCTTGAAGACGTGAAAAGCGCTATATCAAGGATTATTATTATTATTTACAGTATTATTCTGTGAGGCGCTTTGAGATGCCTCAATGACTTTATAAGGCGCTAGATCAAATTATTTATGTTGTCTACTTTTCATTGCAGACCAAAAAGGTTTCTCAGCGGACGGTACGGATCCAGGATATTGCAGAACCCAAACTGGAACTTGCTTTACATTTTTTGGAGTACGTGCTAACGCACATTAAGAATCGGGAGTGCTTATTAGCTGCACCACAAGAAAGGCTCAACCAGCTTCTGAAAGCTCTAGGAGCCGTTACGGTAATTTTAAAAATGTATATCATTTAATAATAATTTTTCAGTGAATTCAGTGATTTTCCTAACTTATCCACACTGGCATGTCTTTGTCTCTTCGTGCTGGGGCATTTTCACGGCTGCTGGTTTCTCGCCGGTATCCTGCTCAAATAGCTATTGTTCACGGATGAGCCTTGGCACTGAGTGTGGGCAAGCTACTCCACAGCAGAGGGCGTTCCAGCCGACGTGAAAGGCGTTATACAAATGTAATTTTATATTGTATCACACATTGCACCGCCCCCCCAACCCTGCCGTGCACCACCCCCTCCCCTCATAAACTTTTTGAATTGATGAAACCTGAAATTAAACAAAGTATTTGCTGAAATACTTAGTTTTATTTCCACTTGGTCAACATTTGAAGCATTTATTAATAAAGAAAGCATGCATTTGATATAGAATTGTTAAATAGCAATGAAGCAAAACTGTCTTACAAAATAAATCATTTAAGAATTTTCAAATTCTGCACAATCTTAAATTTTGACAATGGTCTTAAGCCTGAAAAATAGTGGAGTTTTGACCCTTCTCTTTTAGTAAGATCTATATCTGCCTAGATCTTCACACACTTCGAATTAAGTGTATCTACGTATTGAAATCGGATTGTTTTAAAGAAAGTATTTGAAATTCATTGGTATTTCTTATAAGTAAGAAATGTTTAATTTTTTATGAGTATAATCCTTGACTTCATCTGTATTACAGGAGGTCCTGTATTCATTCTTGATAACTCCAGAGGTCTGTAACATAAACAGAGATACAGCTCTTCAAGCATTTAGTCTGCAATGTCGATTGACTGTTCATTTTCAGAATAAGGTATGTAAATGTAAATTATTTTAAATGCAGTACAGTTGTCTATCAAATTTCTAGCCTTCAATAAAACCAAGTTTAGTTATATGTGCTCTTCTTCATAGTTTAAGTCTTCATTTATGGCAAGATGCCATTTGCTTTTCTCTGAATCACTTTTGAATACACCAGTGTCCTTTAGAATTCAGTTGTTTGAATTGACAGTATCTGTACCCAGCTTTATCAATGATTTCTATTAAATGTCACATGTCTGAACTTCTAATCAAAAGCTTCAGGCTGAATCCCAGAACATGGTCAGATTTATAATAACTACTTCACATTACAGTTACTGATCGGTTAATAATTGCACAGAAATTGTCTTCTACCTCTATTCTCTAGTCACTCATGGCTATTTGTGAGATTAAACTTGTGTGCATATTGACAGCTGATTTTGTTTGCAAAATGCACATTGTTATTGCTAATGGACACACTGCCCATCCTTTTCATGCTTTTCAGCATTTATTACATTTATACCGTTTCTATAGTAAAACCCAGTCACCATTCCTAGCCTACTCACTTCATTCATCCAGCTCAGAGATTGTGCTTTCAACATAACTAATTTGGTGTTTACAGGTTTCATGCAGCAAATGTACCCAGAAATGTTTGATTGGTAATGTGCTGAGAACCAGAATATTTGTTGCCATCCAGACAGCTTTTTCCCACGACCTCACATCTGTCCTGAATATCTGTCCTTAACATAGTACTTGATGTGTTCAAATGTTGCCCAGGATTAACATCTCTTACTTTCTAGAGCATACAACCCCCCACTTGCCCCCAATAAAACAGTGGTCTGTTTAAAATGTCCATTTGTATTTCCCTTAAAGTTTTTTTAAAAAAATTATAATGTACCATATTTACTAATCAACCTGGTTTATTGGTTAGACTTCAAAGGGCAGATTAGTCTCTGGAACCGTTCCCACTTTGCTCCTGTTAACCCTGCAAGCCCTAATAGGAAGGGAGGTCCTGGGTGGCCCAGCAGCAGGAAAGCTTTCCAGACAATTCTTTCAATGGCATGGGTTTTAGCTGGTGAAACTCCAGCAGTTACCCCAATGCACACTCCGTGGCCTCCAAGGACAGCTTGCGCCTAATACTCTGGAATTAGATAAACGGGATGTGTCCCTCCAGGGAGAAAGTGTATTCTGTTCTAATACACATGAATTTCCATGTGTTGGTGGGGTGCATGGACCTGTTTGGTTTGGATTCTCTTAAGAGTAGTGATGGATTTCCAAATGTGTTAGACATCTCTTGTTCTTATTTTAAAGTAAAATTGAGGGTCATTTCTTTCTCGGTAACTACTTAACTTAAAACACTACCTTTTTTTAACCTAACCTGTTATTTGCAGTTTTGTGCCGAAGGAAGAATGTGTCTTGTAGCTCTGGAAGAGTGTGCTGATTGGGTACAAGAGAAAATACTGCCGTTTCTGGAGGATTCAGAGAAGCATCAAAGTGAGATTGCGAGACAAGTGCTTGAAGTGAGTAAAGGATAAAGTAATTAAAGGGAAATGTTCCCAACTCCTATCTAATCTAAGATTAAATATTATTGTATATGGCTTGCACTTCCCAACAGCTGTCTCTGAATAATGATCCATGGTGAGAAAGTAGTCTACAATCTGCTTCCTTACACAGTTACTGAAGCCAAATTGCATTATTTGCTGGTGTCCCAGCTGAGATCAGCCAATTCAACACCATGTGAGCATCGAACCATAGACCCGTCTCAATCATACACTTGTATGTTAGGCAGTAAATATCAGACATAAAGTTGCACATGAAGCTCTTTGCATTCAGTGTATCTTTACCACTAAAAGGAATTGCATTGAGGTCTTGTGTACAGACCAAGGGAATCACACATTCCCTTTGTTTTGTAACAATCAACCAATCTTTTGCATTGAATCAATAAAACCTTTCATTCCCTCAGTAGATGTGCGTTTTACATACGGGTCTTAATAGACCCCACTGTCCTCAGTCCTGCAAAGTTGTCAATGAACCAGATTTTATAGCAAGTTGTGAATTGATTGAAAATGCTGGAAACTAACATCTGGAAAAATTGGCACCCGAAAAGAAGGCATGTCGCCCTCAGTAGATAGTGACATTGGCCTTCCTTACGCTTTCACATCCTGAGCAATCTGATCATCACTTTTCTGTTTATATTTCAAATTTCCACAATTCTTCTGTTTCTCTTTGCCTCTTCTTTCTTGGTATAAATATGAGGTGTGGTCCTTAGGATGAGATGTTAAACCAAGGCCCCCGCCCCATCTGCATATTCAAATAGACATTAAAGATCTCATTGCACTATTCGTAAAGAGAAGGGAGTTTCTCCCAATGTCCTGGTCAACAATAAAATTGGTCACTCAGTGCGTGGCTGGTTGTGTGAGATGTTGATGTGTGCAGATTGACTGCCGTATTTGCTCACAAAACACACTCGCTGCACTTTACATATGAAGCACTTTGAGACATTCTCCGAACGTGTTAGGCACTGTACCAAATGTAGTTATTATTATAAAGGTATTGTGTTGATAATATTGGGTGTCGTGAACTAAGAACCAGGACAACTGCATTTAGAAGTGGTTTTCACGTAACGTATCAACGAAATACAAAAGGCTTGAGGTGTCTCACTTACTTTTGAAGGTGGAATGCAGACTGTCACACAAGCACGGAACAATTACAGTCTCAGTTGTCTAGTTACTGTTTATTGACCTCGGCTTCACCGTGGTCGCCAGCATTCCGATGTGTTATCCTGCGTCAAGGCTATGTAAATGCACATTGTTGTGGCATCTTTCAAATTCCATGCAGAAACTCAACTACTTACTGCCAAATATTTTCCCTAACCAATCATATTATTATAATAATAACCCTTACATTTGTTATAGCGCCTTCTCACGTCGTCAAAGCGTCTCAAAGCGCTTCACAGAATATACTGTGAAGTGAATTCACTATTTTGTGCGCCCAAAGCGGCAGCCAATTGTGCACAACAGTCCTACAACCGGATGTGGATAAAGTGACCAATTTTTTAAAAGTAATTATTGCCCCCGGAAAGTGATCCCCAATCGACTTAACAACCGAGTTCCTACTTACTGCTATGTAAACAGGCGTCTGGACTAAGGAAACTTGCTGTACATTTCACCCTGCCAGGAAATGAACCCGGGTCTCTCGCTTGCAAGACGAATGCTCCTTAACCACTGAGGACTTCACACACAGTAAAGTGAATTTACTATATTTTGTGGGTGAAGCCCGGCAGCCAATTGTGCACAGCAGTGTCCCACAAACAGTCGTGGATTGAGTAAAACAATTTTTTTAAAAGCGAACAGCCAATAAGCTAAGAACTGGGTTCCTACTTACTGTTAGGTAAACAGAGACGTGTGGAGTTAGGGTTAGGTTGCCTAAGGTTTCGTCCTGCCCGGGAATCGAACCCGGGTCCGCGTTTGTGAGGCAAGTGCACTAATCACTACGCTACAGGACATTCTACAAAATGTAAAGGTCGCGTGCTTCTTCCCCAGAAGTATTGGTCGTTGATCTTACCCACCTTGATGCCACAAAACACAGTCGATTCACTTTACAATATATTCCATGAAGCACTTTGAGACGTCTCAACAACGTGATAAGGTGCTATATCAAATGCAAGGATTATTATTACTTGTTAAATTAAGTACATTTTTATTCAAATATCTGTTTTGAAGTTTATTTTCATTAGAATACGAGATCAAAAAGAGAATTTAGGAGGAACTACTTCAAGCAGAGGTTAGTGAGATTGCCAGATGCGCTGGTTGAAACAGATAGTGTAGATACATTCAAGAGGAAGCTAGGACCTTCACATGAGAGAGGGGAATAGAAGGGTGTGGGAGGGAATAAGGAATAAGTGGGGACTGGTGTAGAGTATGAGAACAGGGGCTGGTTTGGCTGAGTGCGCTGTTTCTGTGCTGTACATTCTTTGTAAATCTTTGAATAACAATTCCACCTACAGATTACATCTTTCTGTTAATTTGATCAGAATACAAGTCTAAAGATGACACCTGTGAACTTTTTTTGAATGTATAGGTTTACCTTTTGGTCTGTAAGGATATTTTCATGATCGGGCTCTCCGATTCAGAATTCCAGGTCCAACTGCTTGGCCTCGCTATGGCTGTGATACACTCAGGTAAGTGTGTATAGGGTCGTGTTTTGAAGATTTCTAAAAAGCAGAAATGATAGCTTCATTTTATTTACATTATGCTGCATTGAAATTCATGCCAGCAATTCTCCTCCCTTCCTCTAACTGTCGTTAGTATTACTTACAGGAAACTTGTAAGAAATGTAGAGCTGAAAAATTGCAGTACTGAACAGTAAAACTCGCATAAACCTTTATAGATCATATAATCACCTAATTTGTACATTCACCATTCAGTTTCCTATCAAGTTTCCTATCAAGACCTACTTGTATTAATCACCTCCAAGCTCGTAACGCTGGTCCCCAANCCCCCATTATTGCCGCACTTACTGGCTGCATTGAATCACAGGAAATGACGTCTTAATCTGTCACCGCATGCACACTTACCGACTGAATTATGCGTGTATAGTGTAGATTAGTCATTAAATCACATTTTATACGACTTGTATAGTTTCCCCATAACTTAGACTATGTCATATTAAATGTTTTTAAGTATTTCTTAACACATTCCTTCTTCCTTATTTAAGGAAGGAGATACTCCCTCACCCAACCTAGACTTCTCAATAATGTTAACAGACAAATCTAATTGCAAAAACCGGCGGGTGCTATTTTGGTTTCTGTGCTTAGCTTATTCAAGAGACGATGTCTTAACTCAATGCGAGTTAAAATGCCAGCCCATGAATAAACCCTGAGAGCCTATGTTCCATCCTTGGCATCAGAGTGCGTGAATCTTCACACTCAACCAGATTTGGATCTACATTGCTTAGAATTCCTCAGGAGCGATATATCAAAATAATTTTAATCTAATTCTTTGAATAATGAATGGAATGTGTTCAGAAACACCACAGTTTGTACTGTCTACATAATTATTGTTTCCATCTGCCTGACAATCTACCCTGAATTTTCATACTCGCAGTTTAGTTTATCTGTTCAATTGATCCCAGGTATGTATCCTGCTAGTGATGAATTAACAGGGTGCTATACAGACTAATGGGCCTCTCTCTACCCTGGATACAAATTAGAATGTGCCAATTATAAAGACTTGACATTGATATCAACATGGAAATAGGGGAAATCTCCCTTGAGTTAAAATGCATCTTAAGTTTTTTTTCTATCTTAAAGTATAAAATGGAAAAACTTCCATCTTGCTGGTAAAAATCACGTCAGCAAAGGGACCAATCTGATAACTCAAAATTTGAGTGCTTATCTTTATTCAGCCCTGCTCATTAACAGCCTTACTTTGAAGCAGGCTAGCTCATTGGTTTCAGTAGTTTTTCATCACTTACTGTAAAGCTTGACAACTCAACAATGCTGAGTAAAGGATTTAAATTTGAGCAATATCAAATTGTTGCCTATGTATTTTGTGCTTGTTTGGCCTTTTCAGACCTTCAGGCTCCCCAATTATTCAGATCTCTTTTCAGCCTGTGGTTTGCTGCACACCAGTACTCTCAGCTTCTGTATTAAAAGTCTGTTGTGCTCGGCCACAATTTTTGTACAACTTCTTTCAGTATTATTCACCAAATTGTTACTCAACCTGTGTGTTGTGCTAGCCAGTGAATCAGACACTGAGCCAGGCCCAGTTACTTACTTGCTGCCATCAGCACAGCGCTCAGCTTTAGTCCATTCAAGTGAACTCTTATTTGAAATTGCAACCTTTAGTTTCAACATCTCAGGAACACTTTCTCCAATTGAATGTTATGTGAACTATTACTATGACCATACTATTACTATGTGTATATTATTTTAAGAATCTTGATTGTGACTTTTTTGTTCTATTATCTGTGGCTTATATTCAGAGAAAGGGATCTTGTGCTTGCCAACAATATTGTCCATCCTAAATGAGATCGCAATGGGCTGCCTGGTCCAGAACGCTGACGACACCAAGGAAAAAACTAAAGATATTCTTGACATGGTTCAGAAAGTTTTCCACAAAATTCTGGAAATTCTGGCACGAAGAATAAGAAAGGATCAAGATCAAGCTGTGCAGGTTTGTTCATCGTATCATAGAATCCTCGTAGCACGGAGTGAGCCCCTTCAGCTAATGTTCTGCTTAATTACCTAATGAATTAGGATTTAGCTGTTAGATCTTGATTTAATTTTCTATGGACCCCGATTCTTTATTCTGATGCAGAACAGTTCTGTTCAATGCATCATTTTGTAAAGAGCAGGATTCATAGAAATGTATTAAAGCTGCAGTACTCCATAATTGATTCTATGCATAATTTAAAATGCCTTTAATAGGTGCTGCATAAAAGTAGCTTTCTATTTCTAGAATGCCAGAATTGTGGAAAGAATCCTGAACAAGGGAGTAATTAATTATCTGAAAAACTATAGAATTATAAGAGGACGGTCACATGGTTTTAAGGGAGGAATGTCATGCATGGTTAATCTATTGGAATTCTTTGAAGAGATAACAAATTACATTTGTATAGCGCTTTTCACGTCAGGGCAATGGCTGGAGCCGGCCGAATGGAGGCAGCAGGCGGGGCGTGGGGGCTGAGCAAGTCTGATAGGTAGGCAGATACGAGGGCATGAAGGGATTTGAAAACGAAGGAGAGGATCTTGAAGTTGATCCGCTCGAAAATTGGGAGCCAGTACATCCTGATGAGGACTTGTGTGATGGGGGTGGTGCGGGGTTGGGGCTGCAGAGAGTTCTGAATGATCTGCAGCCTGTGGAGGGAGAAGTTGGGGAGACCAGCAAGTGAACTTGTGGGTAAAGGGGTGCTTAGTGGATATTAAATATTTAGAATTTAGTTCACTACAGTTCTAGACAGTAGAATTGTCCACAAGGTTGGAAAGCATGGAACAAGGGGAACTTCTGAAATAGATCAAAACTTACCAACAACATAGGAAATGATAGTTTGCCATGGAGCTGAATTACCACGTGGATACCTCAGAGATCAGTTCAGGGCTGTTGCGCTTTACGTTCTCTAAATAGAGATACGTTTGCTGAAGATAGGAAACTGGGGTAGTTGCAAGTCACCAGGCTCAGCTGACCAAAATGGAGGCAACTGGATACGTTAGAGAGTTTGGCTAACAAATGACAAACTTAATTTAATATCCATAAATATAGGATGATGTGATATTGGAAGAAACATAAACTACTGAGAGGTCTGCAGAACACAACACAGAAAATAAATTGAGGGTACTAGTGGATAAATAGCTGAAACAATTGGACAGTAAAAAAAACAAGACTGTTGGATGTATAGCTGAAGGGATGGAGCACAAGTCAAGCATAGCTAACTTGTACAGAGCACTGGTCTGACTCCGAACATATGCTTAGAATCCACCCTCCTGCTCGCTGCCCATACAGTTTAATATTCACTTCAAGAATTATCTGACTCCCTTTTCAAAGACTATGGTTTCTGCTCCAACTTTGGATTGTGCCACCGAATTTCACATTCCGACCAACCTCTATGGATTTAATAATAATACTTGCAATTGATATAGCACCTTATCACATCTTCGAGATATCTCAAAGCGCTTCACAGAATATACTGTAAAAGTGTAGTGACTGTATATTCTGTGGGCAAAACGCAGCAGCCAATTGCGCACAGCAGTATCCCACAAACAGTTGTGGATTGAGTAATTTTTTTTGAGGGATTATGACCCTCGGAAAGTGATCCGCCAATCGACTAACATCCAGGTTCCTTTTTACTGCCAGGTAAACAGGCATGTGGAATAAGGAAACTTGCCTACAGTTTTGCCTTGTGTTTAACATACAAGCCCAATGTTTGAGTTGCAACTGCTTCAATATTTGCACTTTATAGCACATTTTTGTTTAAATTTCATACAGGAATGTGAATATCCAATTCAATAATAGAACTGACTTCTTTTTTTTCCCATCAAGATTCTTCAGTCTATTCAATTTGCTCTTGGAGAATTCATTAATACCATACAGTGCTGGCATGGTGCCAATGAGGCAATTCACCGTGAAGTGCTTTCAACTCTGTTGGCTGCTGTATTGGCAGAAATCATTCATTCTCTACAGAAGGTAGGTTTAAAGAAATAAATGTCATTACAGCATTAACTCACCTATCTGCCGTGTCGGAGAGACATTGAGCAATTACTTCTGCCGTGTTGTGTCAATTCAGTTCGGCAGCATGAGTCACTCAGAGCCACTGGAGTATAATGGAACATGGTGATTTTATAGCTGATTTGTTTTGCCAGTAATTGCATTTGAATGATTTTTCAGTTTCACGATTCGCCCTGCAGAGTAGTCTTTAATTTTTTTCAAGGTTTTTTTTTCCAATTAATAGCCCACTAATCCCAACACAATCGCAAACTGAAGGGTTATGGAGAGGTTGGTGTAATTGGTTTCAACGTTATTCTTTCATTTCTGTGACCCGAGTTTGAATCCAGCCTGAAGGTTAATTCAAGTGTAAGTATATAAAGCCAGTTCAGTCTGTTACTGAAATAGTTTATTTTCTTAAAAAACAAGTTACCTGATGAGAGAGAAGATCCTTCTACATAACAAATTTCACAGGTTTTTCTGGTATAGAAATTGGTCATTTTATAGTAAAGCCACTGTACTTAACTGAATTCCTTTCCAATCAATATTTTTCCTTGACTTAAAACTCTTAATAATCAATAATCCTTACATATTGATATATATTCATATATATATTTTATATCAAGAGGATATCTCCAAGTGCTTCACAGGATAGTCCGTAAAGTGAAGTGACTGTATTTTGTAGATTGACATGGCAGTTAATTTGAGAGGTAAGAGGGCTACTAACTGAGCTAGGCTTACAATGGATCTTTGATCAACACCTCAAATTCTTCCTCTTTTCCTCTTTTTGGTGGTCATTGGGAAGTTCTTTGAGACGTTCATGCTACGTGAAAATTCGTTTGGATTCTTGCTTTAATGAATGGAGAACTTTTTAACCCTGGATCTGTTTGACTTGACCACATTTGTGCATGTGTTACTTCGGTGCAGTTCAGAAAATTGTTTCGCTGAACAAAGTGGTTTGCAACATGCCTTTCTTCTGTACTCTGTCCAGACGTCCTCCCGACATGAAAGGCGCTATACAAATATAATCTTGTTGTTGTTTATAAATACTGAGAAACTAGAGTTGGAGGTTAAAGAGAGTTGTTTGTGAGTCTTCAACTTGATTGAGTAGAAAGTGATTTTTTTTATTCAGGAAAAGATTTATTTAATGTTCTTCAGTGTTTAAGTTTCTTTAAAATATTACAGAAAAATAAAAATTCTGTTTTGCACGGTTGTCAAAAGCATTGTAGGTTGCAGCTGTTCCTCTTGATTATAAAGTTACAAAGCCTTTTCTGTCTAATGGAATGTCATTTCAGAAATCTGATCTGCAAGACCTCGTTCCACCTGAGACCGTGGCTGACCTGCCATCACTTTCAAGCTGCTTAATGTCCGTTGTCCTGAAATTCCCTGGTCTGATCAGGTAAAATAACCACAATGTAGCTGGTAACTTTAGCGACTACAGCTTGAATATGAATAGATGTTTTGTTTTTCTATTTTAAGAAATGAAACTTTTAGTGTGGATTTGTGGGATGGCATTAAGTGGACTGCTTGTATTCCATTTACTGCTTGTATTGGTTTTACCAGGAATGAAATCCGAGTGGCATTTATTCAGACCATGAACAGAAAATGTAAAGAAACAATTGGCTGCCGCAATTTGCCCACAAAATATACAGTCAATTCACTTTACAGTATATTCTGTGAAAGGCTTTGAGACGCTATCTCAAATCCAAGGATTATTAAGATTTCTTGTGGTCTTCGGCATTCAACTACTATCTTAAAATAGGACATCATACCGAATTTTGAAAAATATGTATATACAATCTTGTTTAAGAAGTTGTTTTTTATACNAAAAATTCTGCATAATCTTAAATGTGAAGACAAAATAAGATTTGCAGGCCTCTGGTATGGTGATGTCAGGCTCGAAGTGCCTAAGAACAATTCTCCAGACATTGACAGTTTGTGTTGGTGTGAACGTGACTGAAATAGTTGACTGATCAGCATTGACATAAAACATGTAATAGGACAAATGTTAAATAACTTTCAGAATCAGTTTGAATGATCAGTGTTTGCCTTTTAGATCATTTCTAAATGAATTAACAGAGTGCCTCAATTCTGAAACCATACAAAAAGTTGTGCAGATGGTGGCCGCTCTCCATATCCTTCTCATACTCCGGAGTGGTGAGTGCATATATTCTTAGTGACACATGCAAGAATAGAAATGTATTTTAGAAACTACAACTTTTTTTAATTTTGTATTGATATGTTTGGTTCCCACCCAAAAAAATTTTGAAGAGTCAACTCATCAAAGTGTTGAGTTTTGAAGTGGAGCCTGGAAGTACTTACTACTAGGTTACTCCCTATTAATGTGAATACCTTTGTCCAGTAGATTTTATTTCAGATTTCAATGCCAGTCCCCAACATTTGTCCAGTGTACTGACTGATTATATTTGGAGATGGATTTTGCTCGTCTCCCCTAAATGTGTTCCCTCCATATTAAAAAGGCCTACATCTTAGTTTTTCAAAATGGAACTATCAAAATGTAGTTTTCATATTGTTTTGACAGTCACTCGGGCATTGTCAAAGCCTATTCAGAGATTTCTCTATGACTTAATATGCTTTGCCGTTTGGAAAGACTTAACAAAAGCTTGTTTTTGTAATGAAGACAGATTGTTGTATGTTATATATTGATCTGTCTCCATTATAATTGGTCTCTGAAAAAGTTATGATTAAGTCTTTCCACATTGCTAAGAAAATTACGTCAGAATTGTAATGTTACATCATCCAGGAATACCAGCAGGAATCTGAACATTGGGTTCCCTTTATAAATAGCAAGTCATTACAACTCTTTGTATTTAACATCTGTTCAAGAGCAGGCTGAGAAAGACCAATCAAGCCAGTTCAGGCCAGGTTCAATGCATATATCTAGCCCCTCACTGACTTTCTTTACACTCCCATTTATATCTATTCAAAAGTTTATTTTATTCTCCCTAAATCCACCACAGGAATCAAGTAGATCTATAGACTACCTGTCCATCCTCCACACCTTCACCTGCAAGCCTGGGTGGGTTGCATTTCACTAATCCCAGAAATTGGGACCATTTTGTCCAATGAATATATGGTTATATTTAACCATGAATATTCCTTTAACTCTGGCCCTTGGATAAAATTACACCAAACAGTCCCACAGATGGAAATGCATAACAAATATTTGAATACAGCATTATGCACACAGACTGTGTTGTCACTAGATTTTCAGTAAAGTGATTTTTTGTTTTCCTCGTGCTATTTTGATCTGATGATACAGTATTATTATTATACAGTATACTGTATCTTTACATATGGATTGTTGTTGATATTGTGGTTGGTGGAGGAGAGAAGAAGGGGGTTAAAGTGAGTCAGAGGGTTTATTGGCTGAAGCAGCTGAATGAACCTATACATCTCATATTGAGTCATTGCTGATCTTGATTTTACCAAACAGTACAATGCAACTTCTTTTGTATAGGTAAACTGAAGCTAGCAGCAATAAAGGACACAGCAGCAATCATTCATAGAAATTTTCAAAAATATAATGAAATGGAATCCAGTGACATTGAACGGTATGTTGAATAGCGTAAGAAAATAGTTTTAATATTCAGTGTTCTTTTGATTTGTGTGTGTTGGGGTAACTGCTGGAGTCCAACCATCTAAAAGCGCATAGCTTGCCATTGATACCACTGTCTGTCAGGAGGAAAGCTTACCAGGTAACTATATCAATGGCAAACTATGTGGTTTTAGCTGGTTAGACTCCAACTGTTACCTCAAACGCATTCTCTGGGGTTCCCCCCAAGCCTTAGCTCTTGCCAACCTGCTCCTAATACTTTCCGGAATTAGATTAGCAGGAAGCATCCCTCCCTTCAGAGAGAATGAGCATTCCATTCCAACAATCCATCTCTGGGATTGCCATGTGTGGGGTGGGATGCATGGAATTCTCATCTTGGTTTCAATACTCTTAAGCATGGTGATGGGATTCTGCATGTGTCGAACACCTGGAAAAAGGCACATTATTGGACAGTATTAAGGAGTATTGATTATAGTGGCATACTGGAAAAAGTCAAATTGTGCTGGGGGGGAAATTATAGTTTCAGAGAAAGCCCACTTTTTATTTGCAGAAGATTTTCATATAGAATCCTAGTCTGAAAATTCTACACATACAATGTATATACTGGGTTAATTCCCCTGCATCAGTCAGTACTGTCTCTACTGTAGCTCATCAACTCATAATCTGATCAATGGAGTTTGCTGTTCCCTGTGCATTGTAACGTCACCGTTGATAGGAAAACACAATTGAATATTGTTAGTATAAATCTGTCTTTCTGTATATTACAGAACACAAAATTTGGGAGTAAGATGTCTACTTTAAAACAATAATAGTTTGGTCATTTCAATCCACTGCTGTTTGTGGGACGCTGCTGCACACAATTGGCTGCCGCGTTTCACCCACAAATATACAGTCAATTCACTTTACAGTATAGTCTATGAAGCACTTTGAGACGTCTCGAAGACGTGAAAAGAGCTATATCAAATGCAAGGATTATTATTATTGTCTTAAAACACTGCAAATTATGTCGTTTTATCAGTAAAAACATGAGTCCTCATTTAGCAGGCTTTAGATAAATTCTGTTTAAGTTGCTCAAAAAAACTTTAAAAAATCTTTCTGATTCCCTCTTTAAAGAATTGATAGACTACCTCAACAATGGTAGAGAATGCCAAATTGTAATTACCCTCTGCGTTAGTTTAACAGCATGTCCGGTCATAGGTGGATAGAGAGGGATGAAGGCTTTTGTGGAGTATAAACATCGGCCTGGACTGTGCGGCTGAATGGCCTGTTTCTGTGTCACATCATTCTGTAGAATTCTATTCTTATTCTCTTTGGAAGAATATTTATGTGATAGTAAAATGAACAGTTTTGATTGTTTTGAAAAATGTTGCAGAGTATTTACTCTTTTTCATTTTGTCTCACAGTGCAACCAAAGTTAATGGAATCAAACTTACTGAGCTATGTTAAGGTGATTGAAATCTGATTTACATTTGATTTGAATAATAAGTTCCTCTGTTGTGTTGCAGTGCCTTGTTCAAGCCTTCATGCAAACTTCTAGAGAATCTCTTACTCCCATGAACGAACATAGCATCAGCGGATTCTTCACAATTTTCTTTTCTGCGTAACATTTTGTAATGCATCCAAGCAGTAAAATCTTGTTATTTCAATTTTTGCAATACTATTTTTAAGTAGAAGAATATATTTCTAATTTGTACAAATGGGAGCCTACTCTGATGTAATTTGAAATAATGTTTGGTTCACCTATTTATCGAACCCAGTTGGTTGTCAGTGGCACTCAGAATGCATAAGAAAATGTTACCTGGAAGGACCTGTTAACTGCCTGTATTTTTGTAAATCAATTTGTTTATTTGTTGAATTGTTGAACACTGAGGAATAACAATAATCCTTAATAATCCTTCCATTTAGCATAGAGCCTTTCACATCAGGAGGACGTCCCATAGAGCGTTACAGAATTTGTGAAGTGCAGTGACTGATTTTGTAGGAAAATTGTCATTTGCACACACACTGTCCCATGAAGTGAGTGACCAATTTTATTTGGGCGACATGAGGAGAAACTCTTCTCGAGCATTGTCATGGAATCTTTAGCAAGTGAGAGGACCCGGATTCGATTCCCGGGCGGGTCAGGGCAAAACCTTAAGCAAGTTTTGTTGCTCCACATACACGGCTTTGCTTTCCTAGCAGTAAGTAAGAAACCAACTTGTTAGTCAATTGGCAAATTGCTTTTCAGGGGTAATAATTCCTTCAAAGAAAATAACAATTTGGTCACTCAATCCACGATTGTTCTTGGGACACTGCTGTGTACGATTGGCTGTCACGTTTCACCCATATAATAGTCACTACGCTTTACAGAATATTTTGTGAAGTGCTTTGAGACGTCTCGAAGACATGATAAGGCTCTGTATCAGATGCAAGGATTATTATTATTCACCTGAACAGGCACATGGGACCTTGGTTTGACGTCTCATCTGAAGAACAGATGAACCATAATCCTGGCCTTTGTATGCATTTTCCAGTAATATCGTGTAATGCAAAATAATAGATGAAATTGTACAAAATGAGAATTTAACTGAACATAAAACTTTATGTGAAAAAAAACAAACCTGATATTGTAACAAACCATGGAATTGGAAAAAAATGTTTTCTAATTATACAAGCTAAGTTGTGTAAACATTGAGTGTAGGTAACAAAGTTTAAATTTAATATGCAAATAAATCTATTTAGTAATGTCTGGATTTCATATGATCATCAATCAAAAATAACCATTGTAGTAATCATCAAACCTTTAGAATATGAAGACAAAAGAATACCATCTAGTTCAGCTAGCCTGCTTCTCCTTGTATTAAATCATATGTTATATACTCACGCGGGATGTGACCTGAGGCCCAAGAAGACTACTGGCTTGGAATTCTTACACAGGTTATGTGCTGCTAGGAGATCAGCGGAAGAAAAGCTTGTCTGACTAATGAACCCCAATTCCCCAGGCCTTGGCTCTGGCTAACCTGCGCCTCAGTCCTCTCACACTGAAGAATAAATACCATAAGTTGTATTTGTCTGGAACCCTTCACATAGGATAATGTCTCTGAGTGCATCACAGTGGTGGGGTTGGTTGCTGAAGAAACAGGAGGGGAGGGTGACCAGGAAGTAGGTTTTAAGGTGAGATTTAAAGATGGAGGGATAGAAGGTGAGGTAAGAAGTTCCAGAGATTTGAGACATAATGAGTAATGAGTGAAGGCTTGGTTACCAGTGGTGCAGAGGTAGCAGGGCTGTGTTAGCTGAAGGGGTATGAACAGATCAGAGAGAGGGAGGTGCTTGGGTGTGAAGGGATTTGTATGTGAGTGGGGGAGGGGCTACAGGTGGCAGAAGAATAGCCAATTTTGGATGAGCTGGACCCTATGGATGGTGGAACTGGAGAGACTAGAGGGGAATGCATTTGAGAAGTTGAGGATAGAAGGTGACAAAAGCACAAGAAAGGGTTTTGTTGGCTGTTTGTGTGAGGGCAGAGGGGGGTGTTGTGGCCGAGGTGGAGAGAAGTCTTGGCTGATGACCAACTGGGAAGAGTAGTAGATTGTTGCTCTAACTAGTCCACATTATGGATAGGCCTTGGGGTGGTTGATGCTTACACGGGTGGGAGGGAGAGGAAGGGATGCAAACCTTTCTCATCAACTAGATGAAATCCTTCACTGTTCTGAACATAAAAGTTCTGTTAGAAAATGTAAATTTTAGCTAGAAAGGTCAGCGTTTAATTCTATTATATTTCTGGTACAGCTTAATTGCATTTGCAAACGGTACCAATAGCTGTGCTCTCCTGGTCCCTATTAGCATTTTTATCCACAGTGTATTTAATATGTTCACTCCTAAGGAGGTGACGTCTTTTGAGTTCCCAGGAACACTAGCTGTGTGACCTCTGAGTTGAATATAACAAAAGTGTATGACTCAGCATTGATGCTGTTTCTGTTCTTTATTATGATTATAGTTCCTGCATTTAAAAAGCACCTTTCACATTGGGAGGAAATGCAGCTTCAAAATTATAACTGAATTGAAGGTTTTGAAATCTAAAATGTTAAGACTATCCTCAAGGGAGGGGAAGGTAAGTGGAGTATCCTTGAAGATGAATGTCAGAATCAAGTCAATTCTCTGTGGCGATCTCTAGTCCAGTTCTGAGCCAGGTGGGTCTACAGTGCTCCATGGCAATGCTGATGACAACCCAGTCACCCTGGCTCATCAGCAGGACCTGGAAGGGCAGACCAGTCACTGGCGACAGGGGATCATCCCACTCAGCCATTAATCCTGCAAGCCAAAACTCTTAACAGCTTGGGTAGTCCTAGCTGAACAAGCAGCAGGAAAGCTTGCCAGACAGTGCTCTCGATGGCATGTGGTGCAGTTTTAGCTGGTTAGACCCCAGCAGTTGCCTCAACCCACACTCTTGGGTCCCCAAGTCTTAGCTCTTGCCAGCCTGCGCCTAATACTCTCCAGAATTAGATAAGCAGGGGGCTCCTCTTCAGGGAGAGAGTACACATTCCGCTCCATATAAAGTGTAGTTTCCTGTGTAGGTGGAATGGAACTCTATCTGGTTTGGATACCCTTGAGCATAGTGATGAGTTTCTGCATGTCTCAGCCACTGGTTGACTAAAATAAACACAATTGTGGGCTCCAGGTCTCTTAACATATACTTACACTGCTGCATCACTTATCAATCCTGTGGTTGATCGGCTTGCGTAAACCGTTTACATTCAGTTGTAATATGTATTGATCCAAACACTGACCCCCACGGCACTATTCTCACAAGTATAATGAATCGCCTTAAATCATTTGTCCCCTTTGTAATTACCTTCTCTTTTCCATTGACAAGCTATATTTTGATCTATTGCACAGTTTGATCTATTCTTGCTCCGTACCGCCCAATTCCACAAGCCTTCGTACTTGCTATCTGTCTTGTGTGCAACATCCTGTCCAGAGACATTTTAAAGTGAGCAATAATAATAGCAGCTGGATCTCCAGCTAATAACTTGGCTGTCGTCTCCCAAAAGTCTTGTGAGTTCGCAAATTCGGAACAGCTCTCAAATTTATTTAATATTACCACAAACTGCGCCCTGATAACCATCATTTTGTTTTAGACAATTGCTGATGTCAAGCTAAATAGCCTCTAATTTCTAAATTGAATTTTGTGCTTTCTTGAACCTTATAAGAGAATAAGTTATTGTCAGCCTGGCATAATTGGTAGCACTCACTCTTGAGTCAGAAGGTAATGGGTTCAAGCCCCATGTCAAGAGCTTCTCCAGTACTGCAATGATCGGAGATGCCGTCCTTCAGATGAGATGTTAAACCGTGATCCCTTCTGCCTTTTCAGGTGGACGTTAAAGATCCCGCGACACTTCTCAGAAAGCAAAGGGAGTTTGTCCTGGCCAACAATCCTCCAAATAAAACTGGCCATTCACTTCATGGGTGTTTATGGGAGGATGAGCAAATTGGCAGCTGGTTCTCCTAAAAGACCCAGTCACTACACTTCACATTGAATCCTGTGAAATGGTTTGAGAAGTCCTCCAGACGCGAAAGGCGCTATATCAAATGTACAGACTACTATTTTTAATGCTTAGAACAGGTAAGCAGGAAGATGTGCTCAATCGTTTGGTAGCGATTAGATTATTTAAAGTTTGAACATTATAAACGTCTTCCCGACATGAAGGATGCTATAATACAAATGTAATTTTGTATTGCATAAAGTCTAGATTGTATGTGGAATGGAAGATGAGGGAGATAATATTTAAATCAAGGGAATTTGATATGCATTTGAAGAAAACTATTATAGGATACAGAGAAAGTGCAGGGCATGGGATCTGACTCTAAACCGAGTGAAGGAGCTCGCTCCAGGATATATATGATGGGCTGAATCTTGTGCTCTAAATTGATCCAAGGTAACAACATGCAAATTAATAATATTTTTAAGCTTTGTGTAGGTGTATTCTACGAATTATTGTGTTGGCTAGAACCACAATGAAAACTTGCATTCATTTATATAGTAATTTTCATTACAGCAACTGCCAAACACTAAGCACTTTTCATCTTTAAATCCCAGCTTAATACCTTCCTTTTCGACTGGATCTTTGATCACCTCCCTTTTTATCCTTGCCCAGCATCCAAGCCCACTACAGTGCAACTCTCCAGGACGTTACCCTGGGTGAAGTGCCCTTATTATTTGCAAGTTGTTGGTTGTTACTGTAGAGGAGGGAGGGTGGGGGAGAAGGAAGTGACCATTGGTGACTAAAGGTCAGTTTCAGGCTTTTAAAGACAGTTGGAGGGATTTAGGGAGGGAATTCCATAGAACAGGGGCATAGTGACTGAAGGCTTGGTCGCTGATGGTGGGGTAATGGGCATGAGGAATACACAGCAAGCCAAGGGAAGGAGACTCACAGATGAGGTTGAGGGGGAGAAGGGGAGGGATGTGTTTAGGGATTTGTAGGTGAGAGTGGATCTTGAAATCAATGGTAAAAATAGAAGTGGTATGGAGGGAAAGATAGGACAAAAAGAGCAGAAGTAAAACATTAAAAATAGTGGTTAATAATATAATCCTTGCTTTTGATATGACACCTTCTCACACCATTGATCTGTCGAAGTGCTTCACGAGATGCCCTTCAAGCGCTCGGAGTCACTGCCCCAAATGAAGGGCTATATAAATGCAAGTTGTTCACAGGATATACTGTATAGTGATGTAATTGTGTGTATTTTGTGACTCAGTACTTTAATAATAATAATCCTTGTAATTGATATAGAGCCTCATCACATCATTGATAAGTCTCAAAGCGCTTTATTGTGAAGTGCAGTGACTATGTATTTTGTGGGTGAAACGTGACAGCCATTGTATAATTTAGAACTAATACTATATATGTATATATATACATCTTTTTGGTCAGCCGGGTGTCTGACACATGCGGAAACCCATCACCATGTTATAATAATAATACAATAAGGACCTGAATGGCATTACTTTGCAACTTTGTGCTGCTTTTAGTGACTCCCTGTGAACTAAAAGGTTCTTTCATAAATAATAAATCTGCTCGAGCTAAAGGGTCAAGGAAATGTTAACTCTGATGAGTCAATTGTAGCTCAACCTAACCTTGTGGGCAGCTCAGTAATTAGCGTAACCCACTATCGGCCACTGGCAAATTTCAACCTCCCCAAATCAGGGCACCACATGAACAAGGCCAGGCTATTGTCTGCCCTTCATAGTGAGTTTCCATTCGTTCTATTGTTAAATACTTGCTCTGTTGTTACCAGGTCTTATTTTTATGTGTCAGTCTGGCTCAGTCACTCCCTCTCTCGTCTCTGAGTCAGGAGGTTGTGGATCAAGCCCCCGCTTTGGGACTTGGAATGACATTGTCTAAACTGAAGCTCCAATGCAATGCTGGGGGGTGTTGGATTGTTGGAACATTAAACCAAACTCCCTTCTGCCTGTTCAGGTGGGCGACAAAGATTCCATGGCACTATTTGAAAAGAGAAGGGGGTTTCTCCTGGCCAGCAAATTTACCAAATAAAATTTGGTCGCTCACCCCATGGCTGTTTGTGGGACACTGTTGTGCCCAACCGGCTGTTACATTTTCCCAAAAAATACATAGTCACTCCACTTACGATATATCTTGTGTGAAAGATATATTGTCCCTGGAGGGGATGCAATGCAGATTCACCAAAATGATACCAGGGCTAAAAGGATTAAATTATGAGGACAGGTTGCATAAACTTGTTCTGTATTTCCTTGAGTTTAGAAGGTTGAGTTGTGATCTGATGGAGGTATTTAAAATGATCAAAGGATTTGATAGGGTAGATACAGGGAAATGATTTCCTCTGATGGGGAATCCAGAACAGGGAGATCTTAAAAATAGCGCAAGGCCATTTAGGAGTGAAATAAGGAAGCATTTTTTCATGCAAAGAGTAGTGGAAATCTGGAACTCTCTCCCCAAAAGGCTGTGGATGCTGGATCCGTTCAAATTTTCAGGAGGTGGATAGATGTTTATTAGGTCAGGGAATCAAGGGATTCGGGGCAAAAGCGGGTATTTGGAGTTGAGGTACCGATCAGCCATGATCCAATAAAATGGATGGGCTGAATGGCCTCCTCCTGTTCTTATGTTACTATGAGACGTCTCAACAATGTGATAAGTCGCTATACCAAATGCAAGGATTATTATATTCATTAGGCACGTATTTGGTAAACTCCATGTAGAGATGAAATTCTCAGGTTGGTTTGGATTTTCTTCAGCATGTGATGAGCTTCCAAGTGTGTCAGACACAATCCTAGTTCTCAGGATTCTCGTGTGTATTGTCTGCATTTGCACTATCAAGTGAAACTTGCAGGAATGACATAGGAAAAGATGTGTATGTGTCAGTGAGTGCGTGTCAGTGAGTGTGACTCGTTGAGAGTGATGAGTGTGACACACACACACCGACACACACACATACTGACACACACACAGACAAACACACCCACAGACACACAAATACATACACAACAACAACAACAAATTAAAAAATGACATCTATAGAGCGCCTTTCACGTCAGGAGTAAGTCCCAAAGGGCTGAACGGTCAACTGTCGGGGCCCAAGCTTGGGGGAGGGGTGGTGTATGGGGGAGTTGTGGGGGAGGGGGAGTCTAGGGGTGAGGGAAGGGGGGCGGCGGGTGTAGGGGTGAGGGAAGGCGGAGAGGTGGGAGGGAGACCAAAAGCACGGGCGAAGAGAAGGATCTTGAGACCAGCCTTGAAGGAGGCAAGGGAGGAAGCAAGGTGAAGGGACCATGGGATGGAGTTCCAGAGTGTGGACGCAGAGAGGTTGAAAGCCCGGCCACCAATGGTAGGGTGGGTCGGGCGGGAGACATGAAGCAGGCCGGAGCCCACTGAACGGAGGGAGCGGGCAGATTCGTAGTGAGTCAGCAGGTCAGAGAGGTAGGAGAGGGCAAGGCCATGGATGGCCTTAAACGTGAGGACGAGGATCTTGAACTCGATCCTCTGGGGGATGGGGAGCCAGTGGAGTCGGGCGAGGGTGGGAGTGGTGGGGTCGCGGAGCCTGGTGCGTGAGAGTACACGAGCTGCAGAGTTTTGGATGATCTGCAGTTTGTGAAGGGAAGAATTGGGAAAGCCGATGAGGAGGGAGTTTCCATAATCGAGCCTTGAGGTGACAAAGGCATGGGTGAGGGTTTCAGCAGCCTGAGGGGTGAGGCAGTGGCGGAGTTGGCAAGACTGCAGAGGCGGTGGTAGGCAGTGCCGCTCATGGCGCGAATGTGGGGAAGAAAGGAAACACCCAGAGACACACAAAAAGACAGCTCCCGACCCCCAGGGACTGGCCGGGTCCCAACCAGTTACTTTACTTTGTATTCCACAGTCTTGCTCACTCCGACCTCTCCGACCTTCTAATCCCTGCCATCCTGCTCGCTCCCTCCCCCCAGCGGGCTCCTGCCTACGTCATGTCCCCCGCCTCGCTCACCCCACTATTCCTGGGTGGGCCTTCAGCCACTCTGCCCCCACTCACTGGAACTCCATTCTGCAGTCCCTCCGTCTCGCCCCCTCCCTCGTCCCCTCAGCTCCTTTCTCGCCCCTCCGTCGCCCCATCCCTCGCCCCTTTCTTCCTACTTCGCCCCCTCCCTCGCTCCTCCCTCGCCGGGAGGGGCTGTGTGTGTGTGACAGGGGGAGGGGCTGTGTGTGTGTGACAGGGAGAGGGGCTGTGTGTGTGTGACGGGGGAGGGGCTGTGTGTGTGACAGGGGGAGGGGCTGTGTGTGTGTGACAGGGGGAGGGGCTGTGTGTGTGTAACAGGGGGCGGGGCTGTGTGTGTGTGACAGGGGGCGGGGCTGTGTGTGTGTGACAGGGGGCGGGGCTGTGTGTGTGTGACAGGGGGCGGGGCTGTGTGTGTGTGACAGGGGGCGGGGCTGTGTGTGTGACAGGGGGAGGGGCTGTGTGTGTGTGACAGGGGGAGGGGCTGTGTGTGTGACAGGGGGAGGGGCTGTGTGTGTGTGACAGGGGGAGGGGCTGTGTGTGTGTGACAGGGGAGGGGCTGTGTGTGTGTGACAGGGGAGGGGCTGTGTGTGTGTGACAGTGAGTGTCAGTGAGTGTGACAGTGAGTGTAACAGTCCGTGTCAGTGAGTGTGACAGTGAGTGTGACAGTGTGTCAGTGAGTGTGACAGTCAGTGTGACAGTCAGTGTCAGTGAGTGTGTCAGTGACAGTGAGTGGGTTAGGGTTAGTGTGACAGTGAGTGTGACAGTCAGTGTCAGTGAGTGTGTCAGTGAGTGTGACAGTCAGTGTCAGTGAGTGTGACAGTCAGTGTGTCATTGAGTGTGACAGTCAGTGTCAGTGTGCAGTGAGTGTGTCAGTGTGTGCAGTGAGTGTGTCAGTGAGTGTGACAGTCAGTGTGTCAGTGAGTGTGACGTCAGTGTCAGTGTGCAGTGAGTGTGTCAGTGTGTGCAGTGAGTGTCAGTAATTGTGTCAGTGAGTATGTCAGTGTATCAGTGAGTGTGTCAGTAAGTGTGCCAGTGTGACAGTCCGTGTGTCAGTGTGACAGTCAGTGTGTGAGTGTGTCAGTGAGTGTGACAGTCAGTGTGTGAGTGTGTCAGTGAGTGTGACAGTCAGTGTGTGAGTGTGTCAGTGAGTGTGACAGTCAGTGTGTGTCAGTGAGTGTGTCAGTGAGTGTGACAGTCAGTGTGTGAGTGTCAGTGAGTGTGACAGTCAGTGTGTGAGTGTCAGTGAGTGTGACAGTCGGTGTGTGAGTGTGTCAGTGAGTGTGACAGTCGGTGTGTGTGTGTCAGTGAGTGTGACAGTCGGTGTGTGTGTGTCAGTGAGTGTGACAGTCGGTGTGTGAGTGTCAGTGAGTGTGACAGTCGGTGTGTGAGTGTCAGTGAGTGTGACAGTCAGTGTGTGTGTGTCAGTGAGTGTGACAGTCGGTGTGTGAGTGTCAGTGAGTGTGACAGTCGGTGTGTGTGTGTCAGTGAGTGTGACAGTCAGTGTGTGTGTCAGTGAGTGTGACAGTCAGTGTGTGTGTGTCAGTGAGTGTGACAGTCGGTGTGTGAGTGTCAGTGAGTGTGACAGTCGGTGTGTGTGTGTCAGTGAGTGTGACAGTCAGTGTGTGTGTGTCAGTGAGTGTGACAGTCAGTGTGTGTGTGTCAGTGAGTGTGACAGTCAGTGTGTGTGTGTCAGTGAGTGTGACAGTCGGTGTGTGTGTGTCAGTGAGTGTGACAGTCAGTGTGTGTGTGTCAGTGAGTGTGACAGTCAGTGTGTGTGTCAGTGAGTGTGACAGTCAGTGTGTGTGTCAGTGAGTGTGACAGTCAGTGTGTGTGTCAGTGAGTGTGACAGTCAGTGTGAGATGGAGCAGCAGTGATGGAGTTGGTGGTTTCGTTGCTGCTGATATTCTCCGCCGCTCAGAGTCACAGCCATTTCGGTGAGTTTTATATTTACTGTCATTTACTGTCTGGGCTTCGAGGAGGAGAGAGAGAGAGAGAGATGGAGAGAGAGAGAGAGAGATGGAGAGAGAGAGAGATGGAGAGAGTGAGAGAGAGATGGAGAGAGAGAGAGATGGAGAGACAGAGATGGAGGAGAAGAGAAGAGGAGAGGAGAGAGAGTGGGAGCGCGGCTCCTGTCATCGGGGGTGTGAGTGAGGAGAGGTATTTAATCTGCTCTGTCTGTCTGTCTCTGTGTGTGTGTCTGTCTGTCTGTCTGTGTGTGTGTGTGTCTGTGTGTGTGTGTGTCTGTGTGTGGGTGTGTGGGTGTGGGGGGTGATGTTGAGGGGTGACCACCCCCTGTGTGTTGGGGTGAGGAGCGGCTGCTCTTTCACCTGAGAAGCCTCGGACTCCCGCACTCAGTCACTGCTTATTGTATAACCATCTGCTGCGCCGACTGCTCCCCCCCCCAACCCCCCCTCTGCCCCTCTCCCCCCCACTCCTCCCTCTGCCCCTCTCCCCCCCCTCTGCCCCTCTCCCCCCCCTCTGCCCTCTCCCCCCCCCCTCTGCCCCTCTCCCCTCACCTCCCCTCTGCCTCTCTCTCCCCCCACCCCCCCCTCTGCCCCTCTCCCCCACCCCCCCTCTGCCTCTCTCTCCCTCACCCCCACTCTGCCCCTCTCTCCTTCACCCCCCCCCCCCCCCCCGCCCCCTCTCTCCCTCCTCTCCCTATATATATATATTTAATGTTTGTGATCGCCTGAAATACTCTGATCAATAATAGTGATGGTGCCCACAGGCCTCTCTCTATCTTCTCTATATTTGTGATCCCCTAAAATGCTCTGATCAATAGTAATAATAATAAGCAATGTCTGTGTCCTCTCTCAGTAAAGCACTGTTTGTGATCCTCTGTAATTCTCTGATCAATAATAGTATTGATACCCAGACTGTGCTGTGACTGTCCGCTCCCTGTACACAGTGTTTGATCACTGATGAGGATCTTCTCATCCTGACAGTCTGAATCCTCACTATCTGGGGAGTGAGTTTTAAGCTGTGGGTTATGTTGAGCGATTTTATTGCTGTAATAATGTATTAGTTAGATAATCAATATAATAATCAATGATGGAACTTGTATTTGATATCGAGCTTTATTGCTTCGTCCAAACATCTCAAATCGCTTGTCAGGATATTTTTACCGTGAAGTTTAGGGCAGATTTGCTGCTTACACCGGTCGCTTAATTATGTGACACAATTGTTTTTGAAACTGGTGAAAACGGAATTCAATATTCAATACAATTTAAATAATAATAATGATTAATACAATTAAATATATAGCCTTTCATGTTGACAAAGGCTGTCTCAAGGCGCTTCAGCCCATATTTAATATTGATGCTTTATTACGAAACATGATTTTGTCCTGAAAAAAACTCCAAATGAGAACAACACACATTAATAAACACACAATTCCCTGCAGATTTCAACCCGTTACATAACCTTAGTCCAGTCGAAGTTGTTGTCAGAGGTACACACATTTTAGGAGTCTCTGGGTTTAACGTCAAAACACAGAGATCACAGTCTCGCCCTGACTGACCCAACCGCACATTTGCTAAAAAGGTTTGACTGCAAGAATCCAAGGCCAAGATATTGAAGAAAGACTTACTGGCAAAGCTAATTTGCTACAGGATAACCATGCAACAACAACAACAAAATTACATGTGTAAAGAGACTTTCACGACAAGAGGAAGTTATAAGGCGCTGGACAGACAGAGTTTTGGACCCGAGATGAGGGTCCAGGTGGGGGTGGGGGAGGGCAGGAGGGGAAGCAGGGAGATCGAAAGCACAGTCGAAGAGGAGGGTCTTGAGGTGGGTCTTGAAGGTGGCGGGGGGGGGGGAGACAAAGGGACTGTTGGATGGTGTTCCAAAGGGTGGGGGCAGAGTGGCAGAAGGCCCACCCGCCAACGATGGGGTGAGCGAGGCAGGGGACGTGAAGCAAGCCGGAGCCCACTGAGCGGAGGGAGCGAGCAGGGTGGTGGGGGTTAGGAGATCGCAGAGGTCAGGGGGAAGCAAGAACATGGAGGGTTTTGAAGGTAAGGACCAGGATCTTGAACTGTATCCTCTGTATGATTGGAAGCCAGTGGAGTCGGGCCATAATGGGGATGATAGGGTCACGGAGCCTGGTGCGGGAGAGGATACAGGCTGCAGAGTTCTGGATGATCTGTAGCCTGTGGATGGAGGAGTTGGGGAGGCCAACAAGCAAAGAGTCTGCGTAGTCAACCCTCGATGTAATGAAGGCGTGTATGAGGGTTTTGGCGGCCTCGGTGAGCAAGAACATTGTGAGTATATGTGCAGTCGTCCATTGAAAGATGGATTAGGCACATTTTATAATTTACAATGACATTGTCGGGACAGAAGGTAAATAATACAATTTAATTGTAAACGAATCACAATGTTCGGTATAACTGCTGTTCTAAGGTTTGCAAACTACTGTATTAGATGTTAAAATCTTAGACTTGATAATATTAAAGGCTGGACACCTCTTGCAGCAGCAGCAGCAAAGCAATTTTAGTTTGGTCAGCCTGGAGTTTGACACATGGGATAACCTATAACTGTGCCTGAGTCTCCAAACCAAAGTACTGAGAGGACCAAGTGTGTTTTTCCTCCTTGTCTGGTATATCTGCTGCTTGTTCCTCTGCTCAGCAAACTCAGAAATGCAGACACTATTATTTGTTGTGAATGTGGTAGCCGGTTTGCACACATTACATGACCCACAAACAGCCTATAAGTGAATGATCAATTTTTACCAGTGAGGTGTTGGCCGGTGAAGTGTTGGCCGGTGAAGTGTTGGCCGGTGAGGTGTTGGTTGGTGAGGTGTTGGCCGGTGAGTTGTTGGTTGGTGAGGTGTTGGTCGGCGAGGTGTTGGCCGGTGAGGTGTTGGCCGATGTGGTGTTGGCCGATGTGGTGTTGGTCGGTGAGGTGTTGGCCAGTGAGGTGTTGGCCAGTGAGGTGTTGGCCGGTGAGGTCTTGGCCAGTGAAGTGTTGGCCAGTGAGGTATTGGCCGGTGAGGTGTTGGCCGAGGAGGTGTTGGTCGGTGAGGTGTTGGACGGTGAGGTGTGGGCCAGTGAGGTGTTGCTTGGTGAGGTGTTGTCCAGTGAGGTGTTGGCCGGTTGGGTGTTTGGCCGGTGCCCTGTAAGGTGTCCACCTAAACAAGCAGACGGATCTAGGTTCAACATCTCATCCAAAGGATGGCACCTCCGACAGTGCAGCGCCTCCCCCAGGACTGGACTGGAATGTGATTTGAACTCCCAGTGTGAGGTGTGAACTCCCAGTGTTGAACCTTTTTGACTTAGAGATGCGAGAGTTACCAACAGAGCCAGGCTGACCTCACTATATTTAGTAATATGTAAAGATTATAAAATATTAAGGATAAAAATGTATTGAAAGAGGGTAAATTAGCACAATACAAAGCAAACATTGATGTCCGTATATATTTTAATCTTATATCAAATTAAACACTGGTTACTCATTTATGATTTGTGAATGAGTTAAGAGCCAAATTGATCCTGCTTTATTTTTCTGGATAATAAAATCAAAATCAAAATCATAAGTAAAGGTTGAATAGTTGAATTTTGCATAAATGTGCAATGATACAGAGAACAACCACAGGCCATTGTACAGACTATTTACAGAGTGATACTGCACAGAAACAGGCCGTTCAGCCCAACTAGTCCATGCTGGTGTTTATAGCCCCCACCCCCTCACCTATTCCTCTCGATTCTCTTCGTCTTCATGTATGCATCAAGTTTCCTCTTCAGTACATTGGTGCGTTTTGCTTTTGAGCTGACTTCCAATTATACCCCCTCGCTTTGGATTCACTAATAAGTGACTATTAACGTCTCGCAGACATAGTGCAGCACTTTTATCAAATGCAAGGATTATTACAGAACTGTAACTTCATAGGCAAAGCAGGATTTTACCTTATTTGGGGATCAGCCGAGTGTCAGACACATGCAGAAACCTATCACCATGCTTAAGAGAATCCAAACCAAGCTGAGATTTACATGCATCTCACCAACACATGGAAATTCCAGAGATATTTTTTGGAATGGATTGCGCACACTCTCCCTGGAGGGATGCATCTTGTTTACAAAATTCCAGCGAGTGTTAGGCACATGTTGGCAAGACCCAAGGCTTGGGGACTCCAGAGAATGCATTGGGATAAATGTTGGAATCTAACCAGCTAAAACCGCATAGCTTACCACTGAAAGAACTGTCTGGCAAGCTTTCCTGCTGCTTGTCCAGCTAGGGCCACACTACCTATGAGGGCTTTGGCTTACAGGGTTAACAGGAGCTGAGTAGGAGGATTCCTTGCCCCGGTGACCGGTTTGCCCTTCAAAATTCTGCTGATGAGCTCGGCTGAGCTATGGCATCAACATTGTTCTGGAGAACAGTTTGGCTCAGGAACTGGATTAGAGATTGTGCCAGAGGACCACATTATCTGTGAGGGCTTTGACTCGCAGGGTTAACAGATGGGAAGAATCCCTGCCTCCAGAGATCATTTAGCTGGATACATTCTATGAGAATATGAGGAAGTATGGATTGAGATAATAATATCCAGCACATCAAGCCCTTTCCTTCCACAGACCTACCCAAACATCACATCACATCACCCCAAACATCACATCAGTCACTTCATCCATTGACTCTCTCCTAGAGGTTATTCTCCGAACCTCATCTCACAGGTAATCAGGCAAAACCCTGTAGTATTTCTCTTTCCCCATCATTCAAACTTTTATTAATAATCGAGTATAAAATACAGCCAATTCACTTTACAGTATATTCTGTGAAATGCTTTGAGACGTCTCAAATACATAAATATAATATAATTATACTATAATATATAATATTATAATAATATAATTATATATTATTATAATCAGAATCCTTGCATTTGGTACAATACCTTTCATGTCATGAGGATGTCTCAAACCGCCTCACAGGATATACT